TAGAGTATAAAGGGGTGTGGCCTCTTTGGAAAACAGTTTGGCAGTCATTCAAAAAGTTAAACATAGAGTTACCACTTGACCCAGTAATTCTAGTCTTAAGTATACACCCAAGAGAAATGAAAACATATGTTCACACAAAAACTTGTACATGAATGTTCATAGCAGCATTATGCATAAGAGCTCAAAAGTGGAAACAACCAAAATGGCCATCAAGTGATGAATGGATAATCAAAATGTGGCTCTATCTACCCAAGAGAATATTATTCAGCCATAAACAGGAATGGCGTACTAATACATAGTACAACATGGATGAAACTTAAAAACATTTTACTAAGTGAAAGAAGTCAGACAAAAAATATTTTGCATGATCCTATATGTGAAATGTGCACAATAGGCAAATCTATAGAGACAGAAAGTCAATTAGTACATTTTAAGGGCTGAAGGGAAGGAGGAATGGAGAGTGACTGCTAATGAGCATGGGGTTTCTTTTTTGAGTGATGAAAATGTTCTGGAATTAGACAGTGATGATGATTACAACTATTTTGTGACCATACTAAAAACAACTGAATTGTACACTTTTAAACGGTGAATTTTATGGTATCTGAATTATATCTTAATTTTTAATAAAACAACTACAAGGTTCTGAACTTCCTTTCCATGGTTTACATGTACAGGACCAGCAATCTGGGCTAGACTGACTACTACAGAGGACTGAATCTGTCTCCGAGCATCATGGAAGTCAATCAATAAGGAAACCGTCCTGGATTAAATAGTTCTTACATGACAAATGAAATGTGAAGTTAGAAACTTTGTCCTGGGAGTACATGTTAGGAAAAATTACAATGCAAATCCTTATATCAGGGACTATTAGGTAATATAATAGATACCATCTTTGCCGTTTTGCCCAAGACACAGAAACATTCTTTGGAAGGATGTTTCTTCTGTTGACAAACTCTAAAAGATTAGGGCATAAAATAAAATTGCAACTAACTCTACAAAGGAAGTTTTGCCAAAATAGTACAGCCTATTTCCAGATGATCTAACTTTTATAGAGGTAAGCTTAGGAGGCCAAGAGACACAGAGAATCACATTCCCTTAGACCAACGTCCTCAGATACCAGATGTCTCAACTGAACATTTGGCAAGTATTAGCGGGCAGTCTAAATTCTGATTTGTACTGTTGATTAAATAAATGCCCATATGTTTCTGATACTGGACACGCAGGTAGCAAAGTCAATATACTGTCATGAGAATTTAGGGGATTGATTTATACCCTTGTCTAATCAAATAGTCATCATATTTCCAGCTGGGGTGAACTCCAGAGATACCTGCAGATGGGGGTAAAGTGTTTTCAGATTCAGAAAAGAACTCTGAATCCTCTCATTTGGACAAGCACTTAGTTGATAGCCTAGCATTTGTGCTGTTAGACATGGAAAGCATGATTTAGGTCTGAACAACTCTAAGTGCAGGTGTTTTTAATCAACTGCTTCTATCGTGAAAGCATCTCAGTAGAATCCCTGCAAAAACATGTAATTTGGTGTAGATCTGCATTTTAAACAAACTAGCTACAAAATATACCCCCTGAAGTAGCTGAGTGACCTATTTGGAGTTAAGGTATGTTCGTTTTGGATACTATGTGACAGTGCTTTTCTCTTAAATGTTTACTGAATGAATGAATGATTTAATGAATTTATATTATAGTATCAAGATAGTATGTCTTCCCCACCACATGATAAGCTCTTTGATGATGTTATTCACCTGTGCAACCTCCACACAGCGCCTACTCCTGTATAAGACCCACAAGCTGATGCTCAAAAAACAAGGAGGAAGATACTGAATAGAATTAGTTGGGGTTGTTTTTTAAACTTCAAGTTTTGGATGCAGAGTATGTTTGACAGTATCAAGGCAGGCCCATGGAGTGGACACTCCACTCCAGAAGCTAAAAGAGGACAACTCATCCCTCTCCCCTCCCTCTGGCAGCTGGAGTGAAGGTCAATGTCTAGCCATGGCCAAAGAGACACTCCTATTAGGGACTTTGAATGTAGAAGAAATGACTCAAAGGTGCAGGGTTACTTAGAGTTAATTTGAAGCACCAGCGGCAGAACTGTGAGTCTGCAGCACAGCAACTGGTCTCCAGGGACAGTGGTGACAGCAGCTTCCTAAGCATCCCATTGCCACAGCAGGAATTTGGCCTTGTCTTGCCCATTTTCTGTGTTCCTGCCCTAGCCTGGTTCTCCAGATCTCTGTCAATTCACGAGCCACCCACGTAAACTGAAGAGTAAACGTGCAGGCAAGCCAGAAATACAAAAACACTAAGGTTACCTTTTGTTCTCATTCACTTTGAAGGTGAATCACTTCTTACCCATTAACTCAGTCAAATAACAGTTATGGTTTTCCAACCATACTGCTCTCTCAAATTTTCCTAGCCCTCCTATGAAATAAAGTTATCTTTAAAAAATCTAAACGTCTATCTTAGATTTTAAATACCTAAGATATTGCAATGACATTTTTCCACTATGTTAAGGAAATGGAGCAAAGAGATTTTTTTCAAAATCCAATATGCACACAGGAGCCAAAGGTAGAGACCACTAAAATGGAGGAATTCATCAATGGATGAATAGATTTAAAAATATGGTGTATCCACACAATGGAATATTATTCAGCCATAAGCAGAAATAAAGTACTGATACATGGATGCATGAAAACATTATACTTAGTGAACTAAATCAGATAATGGTGATGGTTGCACAACATTATGAATCTACTAAATGCCACTGAATTGTACACTTGAAAATGGTTAAAATGGTGAGTTTTATGTCGTGCATTTTACCACAGTAAAGAATTTAAGTCCAATATTCAAAAAATTAGAAGAAATATAAAGTAGAATATTTTAAACATGATCCATTCCATTTTCAACAGAACAAGGTGGCTTCTGTCAAAAGAATTTTCTGGTTATAAAATCTTTGTAGTTCCGACGCTCCTTCAGAACTCTCAGTGAAGTTATCTGTCATTACATAATCAAGTTTTCTTATTAAGAAATAACCTTGTTGGGAATGTAAATTGATACAGCCACTATGGAGAACAGTATGGAGGTTCCTTAAAAAACTAAAAATAGAACTACCATATGACCCAGCAATCCCACTACTGGGCATATACCCTGAGAAAACCATAATTCAAAAAGAGTCATCTACCACAATGTTCATTGCAGCTCTATTTACAATAGCCAGGACATGGAAGCAACCTAAGTGTCCATCGACAGATGAATGGATAAAGAAGATGTGGCACATATATACAATGGAATATTACTCAGCCATAAAAAGAAACGAAATTGAGTTATTTGTAGTGAGGTGGATGGACCTAGAGTCTGTCATACAGAGTGAAGTAAGTCAGAAAGAGAAAAACAAATACCGTATACTAACATATATATATGGAATCTAAAAAAAAAAAATGGTTCTGAAGAACCTAGGGGCAGGACAGGAATAAAGATGCAGATGTAGAGAATGGACTTGAGGAGGGGGACACGGGGAGGGGGAAGGGTAAGCTGGGACGAAGTGAGAGAGTGGCATGGACATATATACACTACCAAATGTAAAATAGATAGCTAGTGGGAAGCAGCCACATAGCACAGGGAGACCAGCTCGGTGCTTTGTGACCACCTAGAGGGGTGGGATAGGGAGGGTGGGAGGGAGACGCAAGAGGGAAGAGATATGGGGATGTATGTATATGTGTAGCTGATTCACTTTGTTCTAAAGCAGAAACTAACACACCATTGTAAAGCAATTATAGTCCAATAAAGATGTTAAAAATATATAATAAATAAAAAGAAATAGAGTGAGATGCAAAAAAAAGAAAAAGAAATAATCTTGTGTCTGGTGAGAGGAAAGCAAAGCTCCTTCAAAAAGCTTTTAATCTATCTCTGATCACAGTCATATCCCCTTTCATTTAAACACAATAAGGAAGTGGTGAAAATAAAGTATAATTTAATCGATCTTGGCAAATATAATTTTTCCACTCTGGCAAAGTTTAAAACTCTCTTATTATGTCATCAGTTACTCAATTTTCCAAAGATGTGAGACTTTACATGGGAAAAATGGGCTAAAGATGCTGGTATTTATGTAATTCTTCAAACTGGGATAGCAAAAATGGGCTGCCAGTTGCTCTCCCATAATTGGATGGCTCATTACTGTAAAATTATTTCAAGTTTGCTCTGTGGAATCCTGGCAAGTGACATTTACTCAATTTTTTATTCTAGAATTTTATAAATCCTTTTTCTTTTATTTCCGTCATTTCTATATTTCCCCCAAATCTCACATCCATCATTGGTAAAAGAAAAAAATATATGTGTGTGTTTATATGTTTATATGTATAAACACACTCACATATATATTCTAAGACCTTTCAATTATTGTTTTCCAACCCCAACAGAACTAGAAAAGAAAACCCTGCGCCAAGAATCCAACTTTAAAAGTATTGATTTCAGTGTGTTTGTATCAAAGCCAGAGTGAGTGGCTTTTCATTCTAAGAAGCAAAAATGGTGAACTCTTTCCTAATTTACATTTCCTACATTACACAGGGTAAATTGAAATACCAGCAACTTCAAGTTCTATTTCTCAACTTATTAAAAAGATTTGTGTTGCTTAAAAAGGAATATTCAATAACCTCTTGGGGGCGGGGATTGCAAGATTTTCCCATCCAGTTTCCTCAGAGGAAACCATCTTAATGCTTTTTTAAGTAATAAAAGCATTTCATTTCACAAGTCCTTAAAATACAATGACTTCATTTACTTTTAGAGGCTTTATCAAAGTAGGTTTTCAGAAACCCGCACTCTTGAGAGCAGGTGCCTGTAATCAAATACAGTTCTCTCACCTGATCCATTTCCCATGCTTTGGAGGGCTAGGTTTGAGAGCACTAACTCACCCTGCATTCATAAGGAAGATATTATTGCCAAGTTCCGTGAAGCCCTCTGAGAAATTCATCAGGGCTACAAACTACTGACCTTACCCTAAACCCATCTGCTTGCAGGCCAGCTGACTCAACGTCTCCTGCCAGCCATCCGCACACACGTGGTGTTCCATGGCAGATCTGTGAGCGGTCAGGAATGACGAGGAGTTCACATTTGCAGAGAGGGTCACTGAGGGGAAAAAAGGGGGGGAACCCTAATTTAAAACATTTCTTCTCATGACACCGAATGATAACATGCTTTTGCTTTACTTGCAGACATTCATTTTTATTTCTTTTAGCTAAGAACCATTTGGTGAGTTCTTACCCTGTGCCAATCACTGATTGCCATGTGGTGGGGGATGGAAAAATGAATTAGATTTGTTCTCTGCCCTCCATGAACTAGAGGCTCTGGTGAAAGAGACAGGCAGTTCTTAACTTTTCATTATGAGTTACAAGACGGCCACAGGCAGGTCCCATTCCCATGAGTTTACCCAAGGACTTGCATAATTAGAAGGAGCCAGTTGTAACTTCATTCAAATCGTTTCCTTTCAAGAAAGCTTGTGAGAATGCAAGTGTGTGAGAGGGATGTGTTAATTTCGGATTAATTTGGCATATGCACTAATTCCTCTTTTATCAAAGAGCATCCTCTGTACTTCATACACCATAGATTGTTCGTGGAAACACTGCACAATTAATGACAATATACATCATAACCGTGATTTGGCCAGATGATGCAAAGGACTGAAATAAGGACCAAGGGAATGGAAACAGGGATGAGTGTGGGACGATAGAATGAACCAAACTCAAGATGATAAACTGCAACATTGGGATACCAGTATCCCAATGTTAAACAACATTGCAGTTTATCATCTGCAATGTTGCAGATGATAAACTGCAACATTGGGATGCCTTTAAGTCCTGTCCATGTAAGGGAGTAGATAGAAGTCTCATCTGGATCTGGGGCGAGAGTCCAGGGAAGATGGAAGACCACTTCAGTATCCTCTTCCAGGAGGTGTCAATGATACAAGAATGACTGACTATTGATAATTTATTATGGGTGATAATAAAGCGTTTTTAAAAAATTATATTCAAATGAAAAGTTATATCGTCAAAACAATTTGAACCCAAATATTTTTACAAATAATATAGACATTTCAAGCAGAGAAGTAACTTGTGAGGAAGTGTTCTGTGAGTTGGAAATAACATGTACAAATCACCACTGGTAGCTTTTATAATAGTAAACCAGAATAGATGAACTTCGTAAGATCTGTGAAACCAGTTAGGATTCATTTAGCTTAAATGGCTGCCAGGCATTAGAGCATAGAGCAGATGGCAGAAACAAGCAGCTCACCACAGTCCCATTCGTCGGAACTGTCTATGCAGTCGGCTTCGCCGTCACACCACCGGTCACGTGACACACACTCGTGGTTTGCACATTCTAGCTCATCATCTTGGCAAAATGCTGGCAAGGGAACAAGAAGTGAGGAGACAAACATTTTAGGAATGAATGTGATTATCACTAACAGGCACATCATGGTTTGCCAGCAGGAGCATCTAAGGAAGACAAGGTGTGGTCACCCACGCCTCCAAACAGGTGTCAAGACCGAAGAGTAGAACTGATAAAATCTCCTTTCTGAGAGGTCCATCCATACAAACAGCAAGCATTTAAACAGAACTACTGTCTCCAAGTGATGAGATTCTCTAGTTGTAACTACAGGATTGAAGAAGTGGTACCCAGAGCAGCAGAAATACCAAAGATTAGAACATAGGGCTAAAATCTGAAGTGGCGGGAACAGGGCACTGGGCATGAGCGGACTGAAGTCACCCTAGGATGAAAACCAGCTCTGTCCACATTTATGGGTAATTTTATTTTTTTTAATCTCTAGTATTAAATGACTCTCAGAGTCACACACTAACTCTCTCTTAGGTTTTTAAAAACTATGGCAAAACTCCTTGATTGCCTACCTAGCATCTATTACTTTTCTTCCTCCCTTTTGAAAAATGTATTTATTTTTTATTGGGGTATAGCTGCTTCACAATATTGTGTTAGTTTCTGCTGTACAACGCGGTGAATCAGCTATATGTATACACATATCCCCTTCCTCTTGGACCTTCCTCTCATGCCCACCCCCATCCAGGTCACCACAGAGCACCGAGCTGATCTCCCTGTGCTCTACAGCGGGTTCCCGCTAGCTAGCTATTTTACACATGGTAGTGTATCTATGTCAATCCCAACCTCCCAATTCATCCCACCCCACTTCCCCAACCCCCGTGTCCTCCTTTTTTAAGGGAACATGAATTTGTTCAGGCCCGCACACCAGCCCCTGCTCCATGGCAAGATCCTGATTCGTTTAAGCAAGACATGGCATTTTTCTGACTACAATTTTTTTTCTCTGAGTACAGTTATTCGTCTAGGAGTAAAGATGGGATCCGAGATCAGGGTCTTGGCCTGTGGTTTTGTAGGCTGTACTTTCCAAGGAAGTTCCTGCCCAAACCCCGCTGTCCAGGCCACGTGTCCTAGCCTGAAGAAACAGCATCTTTTTCTAATTGGTTCTCCCTAAAGATGCTTCTTTTTGCAGTTCAGCTGTTTAGGTGGTGTTCTTTGGAATCCACACAACAATAGCTGACTGCTAGCTGGGACCCAGCTCAAAGTTGGCCAATCTGAGTGAAGCCCTAAGTGATATTCCAGAGATGAGGGTGAGGTTCTCTCTCCTTCCTAGTGGCTATGACCAGGGAAGCATGGCACCCCAGGTGCTCTTGGCAGCCATCTTTGGACTCTGGTAGGAGGCAGCTAGAGGTCAGGCAAATGTAAAGAATCCCAGAAGAGGTGCTGAGCTCCTGTATCTGGCCCTACACTTGATTTTTTATATGATAATATAAGGCATATGCAAAACACAGGATAATAAAAGAATAATTGCTTCTTCATTGCTTAAGTCTGTTTGAGTTGGGCTTTCTGTTACTAGTAGGTAATGCATCTTAGGAGATTTTTTTTCTGATTCTAAAACTACTGGCCATTCATTCAGAATATGTAGAAAAGACAGAAAAGCACAAAAACTTAATAATTCCACCATTCAGGGATTACAACTGTAAACTTTTTATTATGCCCTTCTGATCTTTTTCTATGTGGTTATATGTACTTTCAAAACTCAGCACAACAGTACACATAATTCTTTATGCTTTGTTTTATTCATCTAATGATATGTAATGAACCCACGAGAAATTATCCTTTTAATTTAATTTTTAATGTTTGCATATTATTTCATTTTATGGTTGTATTTTATGTTCCCCCTCTTTTTGGATATTTGGGGTGGTTTAATTTTTTCCATGTTATAAATCATGCTAGACTAATATCATTATGCATATATTTTACACGTTTGATTGTATTCTTGGCATATATTTTTACAAGTGGAGTTTTAATCAAAAGGTCTGAAAATACAAAAAGCTTTTGATACTATTTCCAAATTTCTCACTTACATTCAAAATGAGAGGTAATTAGTGTTTAAAATAAAACGGCACATTCACAAATTCACAGTAAGCACTTACAGCAATTTTTTTCATCCATGTTATCAGGGCAGTCTGGGAACCCATCACAGATGACTGTGTGCTTCAAACATTGCTTGTTAGATGGACACTCCCAAAGATCTCTCTCTTTACATCCTGGAGACAGAAGGAAAGGTTATTTGCAATAGATGTGAAGGTGAAAATAACAATGGCTTTGATCAAGCAATGTAAAAAAATTACAATATAAAGGTATGATTTCCTTTTTCTTAACGAGTTTTGACTCCTGTATACCGTGGAAAATGTAATTTTGAAAGCAGAAATGCTTGGTAATCTCCAAACTGCATTATAAATAGTACAGCTCTCCCAGGAGAAGATCAAAAGTGACATATGGGAAATCGGAAAAAAAAAAAAGAAAAAGCAACTGTACTTTAACGTTCATCTTTAGCTGTTCCTTTTGCTTTCTGAGCCAATTTGCCAACACATAAGACTCATCTATAAAATGATGAGTTAACGCTTTTAAGCAAATATGCCAAAACCTAGCGATCTAAATGCATATTATCTTAAAATGTAATTTCAATCAACAAATGGCGAGGCCATCTGTGTGTTTAGCACAAGAGGCTCCTCCCATATGCCAAATATCTGCAAAACTAGCTCAAGAGCCATTACTTCAGTAACGTAGCCAGAAATCTCAGGTTAGAAACTTGATCAGTTAACCTGAGAAAAGAACATAATTTGCCTAAGACCAGGACTATAAGCTTGAACTGTAATTTGCCTGTACAATCACAAGCTCTTACAATGAACTTAATAAATGTCATCTGCTTCACAGGCAGTGCATTTATACGTCCGCTAGAACATGCCAAGTGCCTGATGTGTTCTTGTCACTCCAGTTGGATCCATGACCCTCACCAGGCTGTGAGGGGTGAGAAGGAAGAGACCACATGTATTCATCTTTGAGGATCCTGAACCCCCCTGCCTGGAACAGCAGCTAGCCCTCAGCAGGACCACGATACACGTGAATCTTAAATGGAACTTCATTTCACGTAAGGAACGAAAAGTCTCTCATTCCCAGGGAAAGGTAATTTAGTGTAAGGTGAATGAAGTGCCAAGCAGTGATGAAATAAGGGGTTTCTTTTTTTTTTTTTTGCGGTACGCGGGCCTCTCACTGCTGTGGTCTCTCCCGTTGCGGAGCACAGGCTCCGGACGCGCAGGCTCAGCGGCCATGGCTCACGGGCCCAGCCGCTCCGCGGCATGTGGGATCTTCCGGGACCAGGGCACAAACCCGTGTCCCCTGCATTGGCAGGTGGACTCTCAACCGCTGCGCCACCAGGGAAGCCCTAAGGGGTTTCTTTAGAGATGCTATTTCTCATCTGATCTGGTACAAATCATCCAGAGAAATGTCATAGATGACTGACTCAGGTTTCTTGGAGTCCCTTATGAGAAAATAATCTGCTTTACAAAAAATTCTCATTGAAAAGTTATCAAAATAAGTCCCCAGAAGAGAAATTTTTACTATGGGATAAAATTAGATTTAAAGTGTTTCACCATTCAAAAATATAGGACAGCAGTAGAGTATGTGACTGCAAAACTGTAGGAAATAAATAGTGAGAGGCCTTCACTAGCTGACCATCTAGAATGGTTTTAGGCCCAGGGACATCCATTCTAGGAACGCATGGGAATATAATCTGGAGTTTTCAGCTAACCAAGAATACATCATCTGGGGCTTCCCTGGTGGCGCAGTGGTTGACAGTCCGCCTGCCGATGCAGGGGACACGGGTTCGTGCCCCAGTCCAGGAAGATCCCACATGCCGCGGAGTGGCTAGGCCCGTGAGCCATGGCCGCTGAGCCTGCGCATCCGGAGCCTGTGCTCCGCAGCAGGAGAGGCCACAGCAGTAAGAGGCCCGTGTACCGCAAAAAAAAAAAACAAGAATACATCATCTGGAACCAAGAGACATCATCTGGAATGTTCTGGCAAGGAGACTCATCACAAACCACATCACTTGCTAGTAGATGATGAGAGAAAACAGCATGAGTCTTTCTGACTGTTCACAAGGTACATTCCTAAGAGTACAGAGAAGAATGTGGACACTTGGAATGAAATGATAAAAGATCACAAAAGTCGATCTACTGGGACATAAGACCTGTATGCTCACAGATGGTAATAATAAGAGATAACATTTATTATCCACTATAAATCCACCTTCTAGATATTAGTTTTAATTCTTACAATAATACCATAATGTCAGAATTACAATCACCATTTTCTAAGTAAAGAAACTGAGATTTAGAGAAAATAAACAGATTGCTCCAAATCCAGCCTTACAGAGAAAGATCCAGTAGGGAAGCAGGTGCAAGCCTCTAGTTGCTGTCCTCAGTATGTATTAGAGGTAAGAGCAAAGGAAACAACGCTTAGAGTCAGACATCTGGATTTGAACCTTAGCTCCAAATCTCATTAGCTGTATGACCTTGGATAATAAGTTCCTTAATCTCTCTGAACCTCAGTTTCCATATCTCTAAAACAGTAATAAGAACGCCTGCTACAAAGGGTTGCTATAAAGACAAAATGAGTACTCTATAGGCAGTAATTTCCCTTCTGTATCTTCTCTTTTCTAATAAAAGTTTGCGTGGCCTAATGCCTCCTTTGTGGAGTTATGATGAACATAAATGAAGTAGGATGAAAAGGTCAAGACACGAGGCACATGGAAGATACCATTATGATTTTGTGAAAAAATCATTCTCTCTTTAAAGTGGCATTTTTGGTGTAATTATGCTTTAAAGGTATGCTTTAAAAGGAAAAGGGTATGACTCCATTAAAAATTAAAACTAGGTATGGATAGGATGAGATATTTAATGCAGCTGTAGGTTATGAAACCAAATAATTGTTGATGTCAGTATAACTGCCACCTCCCCCCCGTACAGACATAATGGCTACGCCCACTCACAGAGGCCACCGTGTATTGCTAAAGTGACCAACTCATCCCAGTTTGCCTGGGACTTTGCAGGTTTGAGCACTAAACGTCCCTGCTTCCAAGAAACCCCCCTCAGTACTGGGCAAAGCATAATGGTTCGTCAACCCTAAGTGCGCTAAGCGTTCTGCTGGGTTCTTCACGTTCTCTCTCTGTTTCACAAAATCTCTGCGAAGCAGGCTTCCGTCAGAGGCAGATCCCACCTGAACTGGGGCACCTTTTTCTCTATCAAAACAGTTGTCATTATAGGTGAAGAAGGCAAAGCACCTTAAAGCAGATGCTTCTTGAACTCTAAGAAGCTTTCAGTGATGCCAGTACAGAGTAAGTGGGTCCACTCATCAGGGCTGCTAACTCGAGCTACATCAAATAAAGTGTTGTCAGGGTAGAGCTGCTCGTCTTCGCCCAGCAGCTGCCCCAGTGGCTGTGGATGTGACCTCAGAGCAAATCAAGGGAGCTGAGCAGTGAGGTTCAGGCCTGGCAGGTGTGACGGCCCCTCCAGAGCCTGTGACCCTGGGCCATGGAGCCCAGATCTCAAAGAACAGCCGCAGCATCTGTGGTAGCAGCCTGAACAAAGGAGCTGCCTCCCTCCCCGAACTCCGGGCCTAACCGTCAGGGGCAGCAACGACAGCACAAGTCACAGAGCTCCCATCTTTGACCAGAAAGCCCCAGTGGACCTCCCAATTCCTTAGTCACACCCCTTTTCGGGGCATCATCTTCATGTCATCCTCTTCAAGACGTGCTGTCTCAGTACCCTGTGAAGAGGCAGGATGAAGACTTTGAAAGGGCTTTAAATTGCAGGGTGGGAGCCACCCTCAGGGACCGTAATCCTGGAGATGGGGACATCCACCACCAAAACAAGCACTACCTCAAGGACGAGGCTCCACCCGGATGCCCACATTCACTATGGAAATCAGGGACTCTGCCCAGCCTGTGCTTTGGACGTGACATGCCAGTCTGCCCTCCTCTGCCATAAATAAGACCTTGGTCTGTCAGAGATAATACCAAGCTAGACAGGACTCCTTCCCGCAAGGGAGATCCCTGAGGTGACCTGTAAGGGGACTTGCCTCCTGGATTTCCTAGCACTGTGGCAGGTGGGCTCCTGTTTATTGCCCTCTGAGGACTGAGTAAGGCAAGTTATGAGCATTCCAAGCCGTACGGGATAAAGCGCGCTTCTCTAAATGTTACAGGTGAGAAAACTGAGGCCCAGAGAAGTTAAGTGACTGGCCAAAAGTCACACAGCCTCTAAGTGCTGAGTCTGGATTTAAATCCAAGTCTAGGTCTACAGAGAGCACTCTACCATTCCAGGCTGCCTGCCCAAGACACCAAATGAGATAGCGAAGAGTTAGCCAAGTAGCAAAATATCTAAAGGGAAGGAGAATGTCTCTTCCTTAGCACGAAGGATTAAATGTGATCAAAGATCAATCCTAAAACTCCTTCTGAAAGTACATTTGTGGGTATGCGACATGAGATGAACACAATGACCCTCACTCTGTCTTCTAGTCACAGAGCAGGAAATCAGTCTCTTCCACAAGCAAAGGGACAAAGAGACTGGCTCTCTGGAGTATTTAAAAGAAAAACACAGTAAAGTCCTTCTCTGTGAGAAATACACAAATACTATTAAGGAGTCCAAACAGGGAAAAAAGTCTTTTGGAAAACTTTAAAATCAAGCTGTAAAACCTATGAATATCAGAGCCAGAGGCTTTAAACACAGCCTAAAGGGGTTTTGACTCCAAGAAGAGGTTCATGTTATAAAGAAAGATTTTACTGCATTTTATCTATCACCCCAGAGGAGATCGAAGGTAGATGATGAAATGGTTTTTAATTATTTGAAGATAAACAGAAAGGTCCTTAACGACACTCCCATTTGTATTGTCTACCTTTCTCTGTATGTTGTATACCCTTTTATGCAGAAGAGTGATCAATTAGTAATTGTGATGTTATATTCATGTAATGAAGGGTTTTATTTCTCCAGTAGATATAAAAAAACTGTTTGAGCTATATTCCCATTTAAGTGACCCACTGAGAAGACTTGCTGCTCCCATCACAGCTCAGGTACCACCTTGTTCCTGCTGGTATAGCTCATCCAATTGTGGACATAGGCCTAGCAAAAGCTAACTTCAGTCTCACAAATTCAGATCTATAGCATGAAGGCAAAGCTCAGAAATATAATCTCATTGTTATTTTCTTTAGCTCGCCTTTCCTTTATGCCCTTCTTGTTCATTTCTCTGCCCAGATCTGCACCTTTTTCTCCATTGATTAGATATCAATGCTTGGTAAATGTCAGATTGAAAATAAGCTTCTTTCATCCAGTTGCTAGATCTACAGCCAGCTTCATCTACATAGTAGATGTTCAATTAATGACAAACTATCACTTTAAGACACGGAAGTGCTTCTGTACTGACGCAGTACTGACTCTGTAAATCACTCCTATCTTTTAGACTTCTCTCCCATGAAGCGATTCTGGAATGATATGTTCATATTTACATAATTCTTCCAAACACTTGCTGAAAACTTTTCTAATAATGACGATACTTCCGACTGTTGTTTACACTAACAATTATACAATCAGTACAACTTCAACAACAAAAATTTACCACAAGAGCAGGAGACACTTCAGAACAACATTACTCCCAGCCCAGCTGGATGGCTCCTGCAAAGAAGGGAAGCGAGAAGAAGAAGGGCTGGCCCGCCATCAATGAGGTGGTGACCAGAGAAAACACTGTCAACATTCACAAGTGAATCCATGCAGTGGGTTTCAAGACGCGCACCCCTAGGGCATTCAAAGAAATCCGGATATTTGCCATGAAGGAGATGAGATTTCCAGATGTATGCATTGACACCAGGCTCAACAGATCTGTCTGGGCCAACGGAATAAGGAATGTCCCATACCATATCCATGTGCAGTTGCCCGGAAAACATAATGAAGATGAAGATTCACCAAACAAGCTCTATACGTTGGTTACCTATCCACCTCTCGCCACTTTCAAAACTCTGCAGACGTTAATGTGGATAAGAACTAACTGTTGATTGTCCAATAAGGTTATAGAACTGCCAAAAACAAACACTACTTACTGCTAAATGTTTAACGCATGTATTTTAAAAGTGTATTTACAAATGGTGTGCTTTGACCTCCATGTTTTCCTGCTGCAGAAGTGTCAGAGAAACAGCGTAAATTTCCAACACATCAATTATTTTATAATTAAATTAAAGAAGTACTGTTTTGAGGGGAAAACCCAATAATGTTGTTAAAATTTTGGAGGAGCTACAGATGTGTGAAAGTGAATAGTTAATAGTCATAGTATTCAGGAAAGCCCAAGCATTTAAGTGCATTCCACTCCACAATGGACGGAATAAATCAGAAAGACAGGAAGCTTGGAGTGAAACCCAGCTTTGCTGGAGCTGGTGTTTGCATTACCAGATGGTACGCCTATCCACGCCCATGGAAACAGAGGGACAAACTGAGCAAGTAGGCAAAATGGGAATCCGAGGATTTCCCAGTAGTCCTCCATTGGGCCTTCCTCTACTGCGTGACTTCTTCATCTGATTTTAACTGCTGTGTTCTCCCAGAGCATGGGACATGCCCATTCAAACGCGTGCGTGCGGCCCAGTTGCTTTGGAAAACTTAATGAGAATTCTCTCATAGATTAATACTGTTGGGGCAATTAATGTTCCAAATGTATTAATTTATTACTGACTTTTAACTTTCCTTAACCAGAACTCTCAATAACATCGTCAGTCTTTTGAGTGTTTTATAGAGATTAGACAATTTATTTGATAGTTCTCATGAGCCTTTAATTGTGAGATTAAAGTACTGACAAAAACTCATTACTTAACTAGAAACCTGACATTTTAGGATCACTTGTACCCTATAGTGCTTTAAATTTCTTTTTTACAGAATATACTCTAGAACTCAGACCATTTAATCTTCATAAGACTCTTTTTGAGACTAAGTTTTTACATTTCTCAAATATTTATTCCCCTACTGCAAATTTCGGTCTAGCCACCCAAGGAAGTATCATGTAACCTCTTTGGACAATCTAAGATAATCTATTTTAATTTGCATCTCAGAATACCATAACCCATCAAAGCTATAGTGTAGTGAAAAAATCCAATAGATTTTTTTTTTTTTTGCGGTACGCGGGCCTCTCACCGCTGTGGCCTCTCCCGTTGCGGAGCACAGGCTCCGGACGCGCAGACTCAGCGGCCATGGCTCACGGGCCTAGCCGCTCCGCGGTGCATGTGGGATCCTCCCGGACCGGGGCAGGAACCCGTGTCCCCTGCATCGGCAGGCGGACTCTCAACCACTGTGCCACCAGGGAAGCCCCCAATAGATTCTTAATAAATCATTTATATAAGGGATATTCAATGAGTTTTGATTTATTTCTTTACATACAGACCACAAACAAAGCAAACAACAGTAGCTTCTCAAAACACTGTATGTTCCTCCCTAACAAAATTACCATCATTCTGACAGTTCTAATTTTCTAGAAGATGCACTTATCCATATTTATAGTAGCTGATAGGATTTCAGTTGATTGCTTGTGACATTTTGTCTGGACCAGAAGGGCAATGTCTACTATGGAAAACTCATTTTGGGAAGCAAGGCAATATTTCATCCCTCAAAGGCCAAAAGAATAAAATGATTTCAAAAGATGCATTGCCTCATGTGCTTTCAATGGCAAAAAGTGTCAGGTTTTTTAAGCAGAACAATCTAAATAATCATAACCAAACTATTCTTTGGGATAGCCCTTCAATCATTTTGCTTTACTCTAAAATATTGCTTAGTAAAGAGCACTGTCTGTTTTCTATTCCCTGACACACTTTGAGGTTACAAGTACAAAGGTTTGCAGGGAAATAAAATGGGAATTAGCTCCACTTAAATTGCCACTGGCATTTCTGGCCTTTCCATTGGTGATTTTGGAGTTCAAAGGCAGAAATGTCAGGAAGAGTTTTATGCTTTGCTGACAGAGACAAAAATCAGAGAGGGCATGAAGATAAATCCCAATTAAATTTGAATGTTAGAGCCTGCACTCTGTCTTTGTGTGTTTAGATGCCTATTTAAGAATATGGGAATCATAGGCAAGGACACTATTATTCTGACCTTAAAACAGATGACAACTGCTTTAGAATCTCTCAATAAAAATAATCTCTTACATTTGTGAAGAGCTTCTTCTTTTACTAAGAGTTTGCACATATGTCATCAAGGTTATAAACAGAAGTGTAATTTAGGGGCAATCAATGGAATTAACAGGAAAAACACTTATAATTCATGTTTTGCCCTTTGATAATTTAAGAAGTAAATGCCTTAGCATTCAATCCTAGTCACTACTTACAACCGTCAGTAAACAATGGACATTTTTTAACACAATCCCTTTATCCTAACGAGTTATTAGTGTACATTCAAGAAAAGTGCCATCTCACATACGTACCACAGTTTTCTTCATCACTATCATCATCACAGTCAGCCTGGCCATCACATCTTCTGGAAGCCAGAACACACCGTCCTGAGCTGCACTTGAAGTGACTAGGTGAGCATTCTGTTAAAAGCAGTGGGCCACATTACTGTCAACAGACAGAAAACCCAGAACCATCAGCTAATTTATCCATTTACATGTGGGATGTTGTGGAGAAGTTATCACTGGACATAAGGATGGACCTTCACAAAGCTGAAATGGTCAAAGTTTACTTGGCTTTCTTCTGTCTGCCTATCAGCATCTTTTTCCTTCATTCTTGACATCACCTCTTCAGATCAGCTGTTTTGTGTCTCTATGCTTTCCAGCAATGAACTCTCTTTCCGAATGGACAGCCTAACAATTGCTGGAGCCTGAAATGTCCTATGAAGTCAATGCTTCTAACTACCCAGCTGGCTTTCCTTTAATGTGTCACATTGTTTCCCATCCTAATCTTTCCACCTAGTGGGCAGGTCCTTGATTCCATTTCTCTACTTGATTATCCTACATTGCCAAGGTCTCTGAATGCTTTGCACTTGAAGGAACCAGGGCATGATGTTCACCATTACCTACAGGGGCCCTAGTATAAAAGCAGCATCCCTATATAATGGACTCTGTGAGTTAAGTGTGTTTAAAATAAATACCTAGAGTATTAAAGTCATCTCTGCAATTTTTTTTAAATGAAGACAATGTCTAACAGATGGGCATCAAATTCTTCAGTGTAATCAAGTTTATAGATTCACCACCTATGCAGCCTTTCTACTGGTAACTAAATACAAACAATAACAACAGAGAAACTTCTAAAAGTAGCTGATATATTCATCCATGTTAGATACCCCATTGTAATTAATTTAAAAATTAACCTTCCACATCGTCATCAGGCATTAGACAGGTTTGACTGTCTGAATTTTCCTCTGGAAATTGATTGCAATCTGTGTCTTCTGGCCATTGTAGGCCCACAATCCCAAGAACAGACTCACAGCGTTCTTTGGAATGCTCACACAGAGCTCTAAAAGAGCGAGAAAGACAAAATATTACAAGCGGAAACAGCTACACCTGATGTTAGGCCTCTATGTAGGGTTTTAATTCTGTATGGCTATGGGTTGACGTGTATATGTGGTGTGTGTATGCAGTGTGTGTGCGTACCAATGTATATATATGAATGCACATATACACACTAGATATTTGGGAAACCAAATTGAGTAATATCGCTACAAGGGGGATACATTCCAGAAACATACTTTCACCAAAAGAAACTCTATTGCAGAAATGGAAATAGAGATGTTCCCAGAACACGGATTCCCTCCTCCAATTTGCCTTTCCCATTTTCTCTTCTTTCTTTCAGGCAGACACACTCCAGTGTCTTTTGTTTTAAGCAGGGAAGCCCCCAAAATCACTTGGACAGTCTGCCACCAAAGGTCATGGAATCTATACAACACCCTCAGCCTCGGCCCCCTGTGGTGCCCTGGGATGGGAGCCATTTCCTGTGCCAACCTGGCTTGCCTAAGGCATTATTACTTCAGCTTACACCAAACCCATCTGTGTTGAGCTCAAGTCGGTAAAAAATGAAGTTTGTTGGTCTTTGTTAAAGAAAAGACATACTAAGCATTGTACTAGGTGCTTTTATGTGTATTATCTCATTTGTACCAGAATATTTTAAAATTGAGGTATCAGCGTGTCTCAAAGAAGATGGCTTTACTTCCTACGGGGAAAGAAAAAAACAGTTTGCCTCAATATATTACCAAGAAATTAGTTACGGATTTTTTTTTTAAGTAGACATAATGAAAGTAAGTTCCTAGGCAAATTTTTTATTTCCCTTTAAATACATTCTCATTTCTTAAAAGTTTCAAACATTAAACCACTAAGTTAATTTCAACAGGTAAGGAATGGTTAGCAATTGAATGGAAACGTTTCAGAAAAGGCTCTGTCTAGATTTAAGTCTGTCTAGATTTAAGTTAAGATAGAGCATAACTTGATGCTGGTTTAGCCTAGGAATTGGGGGCAAAGACAAAGCCATGGCATTCCCATATTAGGTTTGCAAAAATGGGAAGCTCAACGGTGTTTAATAACTCTCTGTTGGACTGAATAGTTTTGTTGCAGATTAATATAAAAATGTATATAACTCAATTGCTGCTATTTTAAATTAACCAAACGATACCTAATTTAGATGGAAGTCAGGTAGTGCCTGACTCTACCATTTTTTTTTCCCTATAAAATGGAAATACAATATGTGGCACTACAACTCCCTGGCACACCTGTTCTTATAATAATCTGTGCAGTGCTCAGCCATAGAGACAGCAGTCCTAAAAGGTTATTTTGAGGATGATAACTACACTAAAGTATTCAGCACATTTTAAGAGCTCAAGAATGTTAGATATTTTCCAATTCATAGCTTAAAAACTGAATTTTAAGATGAATAACCAAGCTTGGCAAAAGGAATTCTGTGTTACCCCATGAGCATATCAGTATATTATTCTTGCCATAATCCAAAAATTTTTCTTACAAATATCAGAATGTAAAACTCACTTTGATAGCCACTGGAAATGAAAGATGTATGTGTAAACCTAAGAAACAAAACTCAAGTGTCTAGAAGTTCAACACTTTATTCAAAATGTTTATTCTAAACATTTATTCAAAATGTTTATTCTAAACATTTATTCAAAAATGTTTATTGAATAGTATTTCAGGATCAGTCTTATCTTAGGCATTTTAGTATGAAACCTAAGTCCTAAAATTATCAATCATATGTGGATATAAGTTTGTTTCAGAGAACACTGCAATAGGGAAATTCTTATACACATATGAAAAGAAAGTCAAATACAAGAATTTGTTAAGTACTATTGAAAGTAATTATTCACTATCATCAACCTTGCTTAGGAAAAGTAGAATAAGATTTATAACTTGTTAACATAAAACTGGCAGACGTTTTATTAGTGATACTTTAAAAGGCATTTAATAGAAATGTTCAGAATTATGTTTGCACAGCCAACATTAAATTTTACTCTATTTGTATAATTTGTTTAGTTCCCCCAAATCATTTTTAAATTTTGCTTCCTGTCCCAACTCTATAGATGGCCCTACCTTGTCATCCATTTGATATTTGGCATATAATTTACTGTTTTCCCATCTGTCCACTGTATTGATATTCTTGCTTTTTCTTAAAGCTCTGAGTGACTTCTGATCCCAACATATGGTATCCATAGTTACCACTCACATTTAGGCAGGCACATCTGTGTATTCACCCCTTGATGGAAACCAGCCCTGAGAAAAGCAGCCCTCACCTCTGTGACAGCCACCTTGTAGGTGCACATTCTCTGGCTATGACCCTGAACACACAGCATAGAAGAGGGACCAAACTGCCACAAAGCAGTTAGTTGCGCTCCTGTCCTAACATCAGAGCTTTGTTTATTCTGGGCTTACAATCAATGGGCACCACTTTACATTTATGTACATTCATCTAATCTCACGACAACCCAACCCAACCACCACCGCTATCCTGATCTTACAGGTAAAGAAACTGAGGCTGGGAGAGACTGAGGAACCTGTCTCAGGCTACAAGCAGCTACAGAAGAGCCAGGATTTGAATCAGGAGGTGGACACCAGAGTAATAATCTTAACCCGTAGGGCATCACTCATATCCTAAGTTCAAGCCACACTCTTGAAATACCGTCCTGTATTTCATCTAACCAGGTAAAAAAACAGCAATGTCCATCCCCCGTCCATCCTGTGAGTTTGGTGTGATGACTCCTTCAGCCCACTCTTTGTGTAATGTCTCCTAACTTTTGATGCTATCAGAAGGCAGCATTTAAAATACATCAACACTGCTAGAGAAACAGGCAGACGCACCCCTACTGCTGACTCACATTTTAAAAACCGCTTCCTGATCCAACACAATGAAACACTTGTGATTTCATTTGATTAAAGTCCATGAATTATTATAAAAGGCAGTTCATATCTCTCTTGTTTGGTATTTTACTGATGAATTCTTACTCAGATATTAATTTTAGAATGCCTACTTCTTTACTTTTTAAATAGGTAATTTGTTAAATACAGGACTTGTTGGCAAAGTATGTACTTTGTCTAAACTCAAACGATGTCTTCATTCCCTTGGTTCTCCTTGAGGGAAAATGAGGATGCCTGGGGGAGACCCCAATGTATTACCTGCAAGGAGGGATACGCTGGCTTGTATTCTTGTCACACTTTGGTACCAAGATGGTGCAAGCAAAGAACATGAGGTATTTGTAACAGTTGGTTTGAACAAGTGCAGGGAAAAGAGAAGACTCCCAGCTGATGGATGCCTCCTTTTGAGTCCTGTGGCCGAGGTAATTTGGATAATTTGTATGGTTGTAGGGCAAATTCATGCAGAGTTCCAACGTAATTGGTTCACACTGACCTAACAAAAAAACACACATACAGATACATATTATATTTTTAAATTTCACCTGGAAAACAATTTCTTTAAAACTTACAAAATTAAAGTCTAGGGCTTCCCTGGTGGCGCAGTGGTTGAGGGTCCGCCTGCCGATGCAGGGGACACGGGTTCGTGCCCCGGTCCGGGAAGATCCCACATGCCGCGGAGCGGCTGGGCCCGTGAGCCATGGCCACTGAACCTGCGTGTCCAGAGCCTGTGCTCCACAACAGGAGGGGCCACAGCAGTGAGAGGCCTGCGTACCGCAAAATAAATAAATAAATAGATAGATAGATAAATAAATAAATAAATTTTAAAAAGTCTATCGTACCCTCTTTCTTGGAAGTAGCTAAGACTAGATGTAAGTAGTATATGAGATTGCCATCAAAAGGTAAATAGTGTGGTCAGTGAAGTGTCTTGACAAACCAAGATTCATTTCTGTATATGGAGCTGCTAGCACACTGTCCAGAATGCATGTTTTAGAGTCTTTCTCATTTTTTTCCCTCGGCTCCACTTCTCTGATTCCTTTTACTCACTTTAATTTGTCTTCTGATTTATCCATTACTTCTAAACTAGTGTATTCCCTGCCACCTTCATAGCCATTTAAAACAATCAATGAATTTGGCTAAATAGGCAATTAGATGACTTTTTTCTCTACGTTTTATTGTTGATCAGTGTATAAGGCTATACAATTTCAGGGCAAGAGGAGGCTGAGATCCATTAGCCATCCATTGCCAATGAGATAACCCCTAACCCTTTAGCTTGGCATCCAAGGCTATTTCACACTCCAAATCACAGCCTAACTTCCCAGCCTCGTCACCCATGACTATCTCGCCAGCAATATTTCCTGGGCGACACCAGACAACTTAAGAATTGCATGCGTCCTTTGTGGGTCCTGTTAGCTTTTATCCCCTTCTTTCCTTCACACACTTGTAATCACTCCTCAAATGCAATCATGGTTCTAGCTGCCAGGTACATAGGGCAACTGCTGATTGGAATCATCCTTCCCCATCCTCCCCTCTAAGCTAATTTCTCCATGTTCTGCAGCACTCAGCACAAACCCCTCTTCCAGGAAGGCTTTCTGGCCAACCACTCTTCCCCTTCCACTCCTAGTAGGAGTCTCTGCTGAGCTCCAGAGCATCTCCAGGGTGTGCATGCCATGCACTCATTGCCCTCTGCTCTATTCTTTACTTACTTGCCTTCCCCATACGATTTGAGAGTTTTGTGAAATGAGACCTCATTTCTGTTTTTTAATTGAAGTACAGTTGATTTACAATGTTGTGTTAGTTTTTGGTGTACAGCAAAGTGATTCATAAACACACACACATATATATATAAAATTAATTCTTTTTCAGATTCTTTTCCATTATAGTTTATTACAAGACATTGATATATAGTTCCCTGGAGAACTTATTTCTTGATCTCAAAGTCTGCACCAGGCATAGTGTGAGAATTAAGGAAGGAAAGGAGGGGGGAGGCATCAGAAACTATCCTAGGCACTTTAAAATGTAAAAATAATGCAAAATAGAGTCCCTGGCATTGAAGCACTCCAAGTCTCCAGAGAAAGAAAGACACATGTAGGTAGCTGTGGTATAACATGAACAGGCTAGGCTAGTGGGACTGAACAAAATGCTAGAGCCCGGAGAGACAGGGTGGATAGGAGCAGTTTGGGAAGCCTTCCCAGGATAAGCGGGGTTTGGGCAGGTTTGGTGGAATGCGGTGGAAAGGCTCTCTGTCCCCTCTCTGTCTGAGGTGGACAAGCTTCATTCCCAGAGGAGAGAGGAAATCAAGGGAGTGTCTTGGTAGAATCAGGTCAGGTCCACCAGAGATTTCATGCCTTATTAAGAGTAATTAAAATTAAATTTAATTATTTAATTAAATAAATTTAATTAAATAAATTTATTTAAATAAATTTAATTATTTGACTAGGAAATGGTATGCAGGCAAACAGATTAGCAATAAGGACGGCAGTGAAATATTAAAACAGCTCTGGGACTATTTCGTAATGTAAAGAGTCTGAGGGCTTTGCAGAGATTATGCTGATAAGGAGCCTGATACTGGCCAGACTGAAAAATCTCACGGACCAAGTATGTAAGACTCTCAGTTTATTGAGGAAGAAGTAACACTCTAATAATCCTGAGGATGCCTACAGGGTGGAGAAAAGAAAAAGAGACAGAGGAGGTATGGGGTTGGTTCAACTTACCACTTCTTTGATTTGTGAAAGAGGAGAAACACTGAAATGTTTTGAGTTCAGATTATATACAAAAAATGCATATTCCTTATAACAATGAAAACAATACAAAGACACATATAGGAAAGCTCTTCATCTCTCCACCTCCCTCTCTCTTAACTTCCCTCAATGCCAAAAGATGGGTTTCCTCTTCAGCTTGCTTTTGTTGCTTGATTACCTGTCACGACCATCTTACAAATCAGTAGAGGCAGCTCACACTCTATATTTTTCTTAATTTCTTTAATGTACTTAAAATTTTACAAAAATGGGATCATTCACACATATTTTGATGCAGTCTTTCTTTCCCTGTAGATGTCTTTTCTTTCTCTCTTCTTCCTCAACTATCCTATCAAGTTTTAACTTTTTATCAGTTTGTTTCCTTGAGATGATTAATAGGCATATCACATGCATAGCTTTTCTCTCTTTTGATATGTGGGATGTATCGATTTTGATTTAGGATAAGATATAGGCTTTAAGTGTCTCAGAGTCAAGGGAGATGAAAGGATTAAGTTACGATCATATATTATTCTGAGATCTTTACTGAATGCGGTGAGGTTGTTTTGTTTCCTTCATAAAGGCGTTCTTCACAAAGTGCTAAGCAAGAGAAACTCTCAAGTATCTGGCAACCTCAAATTCTGTGATTTATGGTATCAATAAACTTTTATATCTTAAGCAGTAGACTCACTGACAAGCCTGACTGACATTAGCCACTAGAGGGCGATCACGTCACAAACATGTGAGGACGTTTAGCTGTTGCAGGGCTGTATAATTCAGTGTGAGCTTGAGGCAGTGCCTGGCATGGCATTCTGAGGACAGATGAGGTTTAATAAATATCTGTAGAAAAAAAGATCCTGATGGAGTCTCAATGATAGCCCACCTTTCAAAGTCTGAAACAATATTTGATAAATTCAACCTAAAGAAAGGACTGTTAACTAAACGATGTTACATCTTCATCATGATGCAATACCTGAAGCCAATGGAAATCATGTATTAGATTGATGGTCGTTTACATGAGAACATGTCATTTCCAACATCCATTGGCATATATATCCGAGATTCATCTTTGCGTCAAAACTTTAAAGCTCTCTTTATTATTATTTAGTTTTTAGAATTTGAAGAGCTATTGTAAGGTCAACACCCTTATACCTACTACCCAGGTCAAGCAATTGAACTCTGCCAGACATCCCACGTACCCTTCCATATCCCCTGTCTTATGTCGACCTTCTCCTTCCCCGACAAAGTAAATGCTGAGTTTCAGAGTCATCACTTCCTTGCTCTTTTTCATAGCTTTATTACATAAGTGTGCACCACATCCTACACACTACAGTTTGGCTACCCATTTTTGAAAACCAAATTGAAGTCTCTTATACTCTCTATGTTCCCCCTCCCCTCCATCTCTTTATTTTTCTTTAATGTTTAACTATTGAAGAATCCGGGGACTTGACCTGTAGAGCATGCCAGAGTTTGGATTTTGCTGATTGCACACTCGTGGGGAGGCTAAACATGTTCCCCTGTCCCCCTTGTCTCCTGAACACTGGCAGCTGAAGCCAGGGGGCTGATTAGGCTTCATCCCTTTGGCAAGACTAGGTGCTGCGGTGTTCTTTCATCAGAAGACACATCCGTCTGATTTCTTTTTGTGACTCCTACAGCTCTATGTCCATGCGCAGTGCCTTGCCCTGTTAATTCACCTGGTTACCAAATGGTAATATTCGAATTCAATCATTTATCTTCCACTTACTAGCTGGGAATGCTTTTAGAAAGAGGTTGTTCCTCTCATCTACTATTTGATTCTGAGAACTGAAGTCCTTAATCATTACAGCATATGGCTTTTTGACTACACCCCTATACTATCTGTTCCTTCCACCTAGAGATTGCAAGGAGAGGGCAGGAAACTGACAGACCACTGGGAAATTATTTGAAGAACAAAGCTGTTCATTTCTTCCTGGATATAACTTTTCAGTGGGGGGGAATCATACTGCCATCTTCCCACTCATATATACGACTTTGGTTTTCCTTTTCTGTTCTTCAAATACACTCAGACAGTTTCCCTAGCGTCTCACTGTCTCATCAGCTTCCTCTTTCATCACAGGTGTTCTTGCCAGGTTCCCTCCATATATATTCAGCAAACATTTGAACATCCCCTCTTCTGAGTGTCAGGCACTGGGCTAGTCACTCGTCCCCATTCCTTCTCTGTTATTAAAAATAAGTATTGGAAGAAAAATGTACACAAGTAAACATGTAGAACTAAAGGTTGATGGAACACTATGGGAAACCTGGGAGGGTCCCTGAGGCATGACAGTCACACCAGGCTTCATACAGCCATGGCGATCATGGGCGCAGGGAGGTGGGGAGAGACACATGCCCAGGAGCTGCTCTCTCCACCAGGTTCCCGCAGATGTCTGGATTGCACTCTACAAGGTACAGGTGATGGATTAGTCCCTCCACACCAGACTGATGGGAAATAACATTCCTGATCCTACCCGCCAAGGCAAGGACATGTCCGTATTTTGCCTCCCAGCAGGGTGCAAACATGTTAAAGATTCTGGGCTGGAGTGGATGTGGTGATACTGTGATACTTTTAAGCCTCTCCATGCACAATATCATCTGAGATGTGTTCTTTAGGCTTTTTTAAATTGTAGGCACTTCTGCTAATCTGAGATAAACCATGGATCTTATCCACTGAAAAATACGAAAACCAGGGCTTCCCTGGTGGTGCAGTGGTTGAGAGTCCACCTGCCGATGCAGGGGACGAGGGTTCGTGCCCCGGTCCGGGAGGATCCCACATGCCACGGAGCGGCTGGGCCCGTGAGCCAAGGCCGCTGAGCCTGCGCGTCCGGAGCCTGCGCGTCCGGAGCCTGTGCTCCGCAACGGGAGAGGCCACAACGGTGAGAGGCCCGCGTACCGCAAAAAAAAAAAAAAGAAAGAAAAGAAAACCACGAAGACTTTTTTTCACACCCAATTGCAGGATGTCACTAATCCCAGCAGCCTCGTCAGGACACAAAGCAATAATTCTCAACTTTTGCTGCACACTGGGGTCACCTGGGGAATTTTAAAAATACTGATGCCGGGGTCCCACCCAGTATATCTTCAGGGACCATTGGAACGTTATTATAATATTTTATGGGGTGGCAAGAACCATTATCTTTAAGGACTAGCCTCCCAGCAACTCCAGTGAGAGACTGACTCCACCGGAAAGAATGTTCACGTTCTCCAAACTCATATTCCCCACTGGCAGGGAGCCAGAGAAAGAGAGCGCTGCTCAGTCGTGCTCCAGAATCAAAATAACAGTAGTCTCTGACAGTGTCCAAGATCTTTAAACAATTAATCACATTTTCAAGTGCATGAAGAGTTTTCTGAGAGGAGATGATACTCGTCCATATTTACAGAGAACCAAGTAGACACACACCATCCTGAAGCTCTTTGAAAAATAAGGAATAACATCTTTACTCTCAGCTGGAAGTTAGGCATATACACTGCTTATGTGCCTAGCAGAGACAGCAGCTCCTGGGCATGGGTCTCTCCTCGCGCCCATGATCGCCATGGCTGTATGAAGCCGGGTATGACTGTCATGCCTCAGGGACCCCCCCCAAGTTTCCCACAGTACTCCATCAACCTTTAGTTCTAAATGTTCACTCATGTACTTTTTTCTCCAACACTTATTTTTAATAACACAGAAGGAATGGAGACCAAGGACAAGCCCAATGCCTGGTACTCGGAAGAGGGGGTGTTCCAATGTTTGCTGAATATATATGGAGAGAACGTGGCAAGAACATCTGTGATGAAAGAGGAAGCTGATGAGATGGTGAGATCTAGGGAAATGGTTTGAGTGTATTTGAAGAACATAAAAAGAAAACCAGGGCTTCCCTGGTGGCGCAGTGGTTGAGAATCCGCCTGCTGATATAGAGGACACGAGTTCGTGCCCTGGTCCGGGAAGATCCCACATGCCGCGGAGCCTGTGCTCCGCAATGGGAGAGGCCACAACAGTGAGAGGCCCGCTTACCGCAAAAAAAAAAGAAAAAAAAAAAAGAAGAAAACCAAAGTTGTATATATGAATGGGAAGGTGGCCATATGATCCCACTGTTGAAAAGTTAGCTCCAGGAAGGCTGGAATCATGTTTCCCTTCATTGCCATCAAAGTGCCCAGTGCCCATCCCAGTGCCTGGGACATCACAGACACTAGAAATACTGGTTGAATATACATGATAAATGGAGTATTTCCTGCCATATCAATAAACAAAGGATGTCACAGTCACCAATGATTGTAGCCCTCCAACGTGAGCTGATGAGCCCTGAGGAAACTCAGGGCTGAAAAGAATACCTGCCATCTAGCAGCCATCAGACTGCAGCCACTCCCTGCGGTGAGCCCTGAGGAAACTCAGGATGTGAAAACCCTGGATACTGGCCTGGAGAGCTGAGGTGCGTATCCAAGGAATTATTTCAGGCAGTTAAGACTCTTGCATCTTCCCATACATAGAAAAGCGCTAAATTCCTTAACTTGAGATATCTGGTATTCTTTGATTAATAATAATCTTTTGACATTCCTGACTACCTGTTTTTTCAGAGTTATCTGAAATGCTGTCTCCCGGCCTGCAGTCCTCATTTTGCCCCATAAAACTTAACTCGCAACTCTCACGTTGTGCTTTTTTTTTAAGTCAACATACATACCAGCTGAGTTATCTAGTGCCCTTCCTACAAGTTCCTTTTTTTTTGGACCGGTGATAACTTATTTTTATTTTTAATCTTGAAATATTTCAAGTATAGAGAAAATAGGATAACATATACTTGGGTTACTCCCTGCCTAAATTTGACACAGGCTAACATTGCTCTCTCACCTTTTTTGAATCTAACAGTAAGTACCATTCCATGTCAGCCAACCCCGAAAACTTTAATAAAATACATGTGTCTGAGACAATACTGCCACTGTCCAAAATGCTACAGCCCAAGTTCAAGTTGAAGTAAAAAAAAATGATTCTGAAAGAGTTCCAGGGCAGACTGGGAGATGAGCAAAGTCAAATCATATGTATATACATATATACACATACATAGACATATATTTAATCATTTTAGAGTGAATAAAATGGTAGTGTGTCTTAGTGGTCAGACTGATATCTATCTGCACTGTTCTCTCCTATGGGAAATGGAGGAGGGATGGGTATTGTGCTTTCGGCCAAACAGTTATTAAGTGCTTGTGAAATTAAACAAAAAATCTTGTTAGTCTGGGTTATTAATTGGCTGTGGCCCTCACACTCCTATCCAGCCCACTGTTTTCGCCCCTTGATATCCCCTAAGGGGTACGGGCTACCTGCCACCCATAAGCTCTACATTGACCCAGAAAGGTCACAGAGTAGAATTAGGATCTGAAAACTTCAGCAAATCCAGGGACCCAAACCCTTCAGCCTTTCAACCTCCCGGCCTCCAGGGGCCTTCACTGCTGGGATCTGTGCTAAGAAGTCATACCTTCTTGTCAACTGAAAGCTGACAGACCTGCTTCTAAATCTCAAGCCCAAGCTGACAGGGAAGCCAAAAATTAATTCTAAAAAGTGAAAGAAGTGAGTAGAATGTGAAAGCAGAGCCCAGAAGTAAGCAAGCCATTACTAGAAATCAGTCTTTGGGGGCTTTCCAATTCATCTAAAATTTCCTGAGAGACTCTTCCTGCTACCCCTGCCCATTCAATCTTCCCCTAATCATTCCTCCTCCTGAAGCCAGTTTGGATACAGCCACCTGTCTACACCATTTGTAGCGAGGTCATTACAGGTCAGCAAAGTTCCTGGAAGGGTGAGAATACATTTTATAACAAGAACAGACCGCCAAAGTTTTATGTGGCTATTTAAATGAACTTCATATTTACTTCTTGGATAAAGTTTCCATTTTTGAAGCTGGGCTTTAAAAAGGAAGAAAGATAGCATTTTCCTGCAGATGCAGCCAAGAAAATAATATATAGGAGCTGACGCTGAGTGGAAAGTCACGGCAATGACATTAAGCAATGGATTTATAGCCCATTCATGATGACACATTTGTTTATGATTTAAGTTAATTAAGACCATTTTGCTTCTTTTCTGCTACCACATGCAACCTTTAAAAAAAGAGAGATATATATACATATTTTGGAGGGATTCCACACTTGAGCATTTTAATGTCAATGCAAAAGGATAAAACTGAATACATAGCCTGACGCGGTGATTGAATTTGTCAGCAGCAACTGTACTTACTACAATTATTCAGACTGTTGCTGGGATCACAAAGAGAGCTACCACCACATGAATCAAGGCAGGAACTGTAGAGGCATCTTTGATCTCCTTCTTGACACGGAGTCTGACCTACAGGCGGGGTGAAAGCACATTTACTTTCATCAGCAACTATAAATTCCACGCACTAGGATCTGAAGGATCCAGAACCAAGGAAGGACACAACTTTAATTTCCTTCCAACTTCTCCAAAAATTTTGAACACATGTTGAGATTCTGTAGGAATAAAGAAGTAAGAGGCAACCCATCCTTCAAAAATCATCTGTTGCTGCTTTTAATGGAAAAGAGAGCATCTTATATTTACATGGGTGCATGGAGTTGATGACAAAATAAAATTCAAGTGATTTGAGGGAAGGGCCAATATTTTTAAGACTCATTTGATCCCAACTCTAGTCTTTCCTCTAAGGAAAATGTTTTCCTTAATAATAAATAAGGCATCAACATCAATACAATAAGGATACTTTATCATGGCATAAGTCTTAAGCGGCTGTTATCCATATTTTCTGTGTCCTTGGAAAGTAGCACTGGCCTAGCTGCAATGATCTGAGAATTGGGTTTCTTATTTCCAAATGGATGACAACAGTAACATCAACCTAATGGCTTTTCCTTAAGGTATGTGGAGAGGAAACTGCTTTTCCCATTGATTTCCTGGTCATTTGTAGATTAAATGGATAAGGTAATAAATTACTGCCTGTTCTCTTTCTAGCTCGCTCCCATTATAGTCAATTACTCAGACACGTCATGTGGAACCTAGAAAATCTTGCAAGGTAGTTTTAAATATAAATAACAGTATGGGTATACATATAACCATTCTTATCTGTAATTCTAAGACAATATTTATTATACTGGACTTTCTTATCTATAATTCTAAGACTTATAAGACTTATCTATAATCTTATCTATAATTCTAAATATAATATTTATTATTCTGGACTCTTTCTCCCTTCCAGTACCATTAATGAACAACACTATATATCACAGCCTTGCATAAAATAGATATCACTCCTTTTCTTTTTTTAATGTTAGCAGGTCAAACTTTTTTTTGCAAGGTAAGCCAGGATAAGTTCCATGAATTTAGTCTCTTGAAGAAATTTTATTAAGACAGCATGAATTCATTATTTCAGCCGGTATTAAGCGCCCACTATGTGACAACTTATGTGACCAGCTCGGCACTGAGCATTAAAAGACAGAAAACCCTGATAATTTCTACCCTAATTAGGGATATCATCATGAACGGAATCTTACGATGCCATGTGATCATTGCTCCACTGAAGGTCCATGCAAAAAGCAGTAAACGCAAATTACAACAGTAAGAGTAAAGCTTCTCAAAGGAGTTTTTCAGGCAGTTGGGGTAAGGTGGGATAAGAGGGAAGGATGGGTTTCCCAAGCAGACAGCAGGATATGCAAAGGCCTGGAGTAAAAAGTACACAGGCTGGAGTCACTGGAGGTTAAGGGAGACTAAACAGGAAGGTTGAGAGCAAGGCTGAGGGTTGTAATGGCCTAAATCTTGAATAGGGTCCCGAGTCCTGGCAGAAGCAGTCCCAGACCCCCTCCCAGCCTGTTTGAGCAGAACCAGCCTTCAATCACTGCTGACGCTTGTAACTCGCTCCCCTTCACTCTCAGCTCGCTGAACGCAGTGGCCTTCTCCCACTACTCTAAACTACCTTGCTCCTTCCTGCCACCTCCGTGCCTTTGGCCAAGCGGTTCCCTGTGTCTAAAATTCTTTCTCCAGCCCCACTCTCCTTTGTTAATTCCATTCATTCTTCAGACTGTGGCTCCTACAGCCATCTCAGGGAAGCTTCCCAGAGGCCCTTCACCAGGACATGCATCCAATACGTGGCATCCTAGCACCTTGAATTTCCCTCCTGGCCTATGTCACTCCCCAGTTAGACAAGGACCAGCACAATTATTTGTATCGGCTTACCTCCCCCAGGAGCCTGCTAGCCGCATCAGCAGTTTTGCTTGCCACTAAATTCCCAGCACCACAATATACTTTTATTATATTGAATTCATTAGAGTGGATAAAGATGCTACAATTTTACTTTGTGATCCATTTTATCATGGGACTTTCTAACATCTCACACATGTAAGGAAGTATTTTCAAATCCTGCCACTGCATAGTAAAAAAATCCAAAATTATTTCAAACAGCATTGAATTATGTAGAGAGAAGGAACTATTTGATCAAAAGGGAGTTGCTTGGCTGACATGCACACAATAACTCATGGCTAGAAAGGGAATTCCTTCTGAATTTTAAAACTGGTAAAATGGGGCTTCCCTGGTGGTGCAGTGGTTGAGAGTCCGCCTGCCGATGCAGGGGACACGGGTTTGTGCCCCCGTCCGGGAGGATCCCACATGCCACGGAGCGGCTGGGCCCGTGAGCCATGGCCATTGGGCCTGCGCGTCCGGAGCCTGTGCTCCGCAATGGGAGAGGCCACAGCAGTGAGAGGCCCGCGTACCGCAAAAAAAAAAAAAAACAAAACTGGTAAAATGAAGCACTCGTTATCTAGTTTTTTATGGACTAAATCTGTGAATAAAAGGCTCTCCCTTTAGGTCTGAAATGCGTTTTCATTAAAGCCATCCTAATGATCAATATTCACTATGAAAAAGCTAATTTAGTTATCGGTGACCAATCTCATTAGCTGATTTGGAATATACACAGCCTAAGACTTGCTTTCACAGAGCAGCTATGTGATAAGAACTTACATTTATTGAGTGCTCACCACGTGCCATCTCTATGAAGTAGTTATCATTATTCTGAGATTACAGACACAGAAACTGAAATGTAACAGGGTTAAGTTACTGGACTAAAGTCAACCAGGGAGTAGGTGGCAGAGCTGGGGTTTGAACCCAGGCAGCTGGGCGGCAACATCCACATTCTTAACAACTAGGCTATGTTGGTAAGAGGTAAGGTCACTTATAAGCAAATGTAGTGATTTTTAAGTCAAAGGATATTACCAACCCTGTACTGAGAGATGCTTCTACACAAACTGGGACTTAAAACAATCAGTGTAGAGCTTTCTTTTCTGGCAGAAATAGACACACTTAAAAAAACCAACTTACCTGATTTACTTTTTCTTTGGGGGTTTCACAGATAATATCAGACTCCTTTTAAACTGTATTTAAGTATATTGCTTGGAAGGAAAACATAAGACGAAAAGACAACCCTCAGAATGGGAGAAAATATTTGCAAATGAAGCAACTGACAAAGGATTAACCTCAAAAATTTACAAGCAGCTCAATATCAAAAAAACAAACAACCCAATCCAAAAATGGGCAGAAGATGTAAATAGACATTTCTCCAAAGAAGATATGCAGATTGCCAACAAACACATGAAAGGATGCTCAACATCACTAATCATTAGAGAAATGCAAATCAAAACCACAATGAGATATCACCTCACACCAGTCAGAATGGCCATCATCAAAAATCTACAAACAATAAACGCTGGAGAGGGTGTGGAGAAAAGGGAACACTCTTGCACTGCTGGTGGGAATGTGAATTGGTTCAGCCACTATGGAGAACAGTATGGAGGTTCCTTAAAAAACTAAAAATAGAACTACCATATGACCCAGCAATCCCACTACTGGGCATATACCCTGAGAAAACCATAATTCAAAAAGAGTCATCTACCACAATGTTCATTGCAGCTCTATTTACAATAGCCAGGACATGGAGGCAACCTAAGTGTCCATGGACAGATGAATGGATAAAGAAGATGTGGCACATATACACAATGGAATATTACTCAGCCATAAAAAGGAATGAAATTGAGTTATTTGTAGTGAGGTGGATGGACCTAGAGACTGTCATACAGAGTGAAGTAAGTCAGAGAAAAACAAATACCGTATGGTAACACATATATATGGAATTAAAAAAAATAGTTCTGAAGAACCAAGGGTCAGGACAGGAATAAAGACGCAGATGTAGAGAAAGGACCTGAGGCCACGGGGAGGGGGAAGGGTAAGCTGGGACAAAGTGAGAGAGTAGCGTGGACATATATACACTATCATATGTAAAAATAGATAGCTAGTGGGAAGCAGCCACATAGCATGGGGAGATCAGCTCGGTGCTTTGTGACCACGTAGAGGGATGGGATAGGGAGGGTGGGAGGGAGACGCAAGAGGGAGGGCATATGGGGATATATGTATATGTATAGCTGATTCACTTTGTTATAAAGCAGAAACTAACACACCATTGTAAAGCAATTATACCCCAGTTAAGATGTGAGGCATTAAACTGCTTCTCTGCACATGGTTATTTTAGGAAGCCGTTACATTTAATTTCAGAAGCCAGTTATTTCTAATTGAAATCTAATTGAATTGAATACTATACGCTACACTTTTCTCTTTATCGTGGTGTTTCCCCATAAAACATCTAACTGAATCTGCCCATGCTGTTTAAGTGTTTAACCTCTACTCTTCACCCTTAGGGATGATTTTTCAGTGTAAGTTGCATGAGAGTTACATTTACCATAAGCAAGGGTTTCTGGCTGACCAGAGCTGGGAGGACCAGTGCATTAGGCAATCTGGCATTATTTATATGGGGATCCTTCAAGCTGTAGGTAACTTCCAACTTTTTGCTGTGCTCCCAAGGAAAGGCCCACCGGTCAGGACTGTTTCCGGGGCTAGAGCACACACTTACCATTGGTGCAACTCTCCTCATCACTTCCGTCCTTACAGTCCTCGTCTCCATCACACTGGAAAGTGCTGGGGATACACTGGCCACTTCTGCATTCCACCAGACCCTGGCTGTGACATGCTAGGAAATGCCAAAATAACATGCATTTTAATTATCGCTACTTCTTTCAGTCTACAGATCACATCAATGATTCCCATTTATCTGGCATCACCAAGAATGAAGTGTTCTAAATTTCTGAATGTTCTGCATAAATGAATGAATATATCATTCATTTTGTTCATTCCAAGTATCTTTGGAATGGAAAGTTCCCTTTCAGGAATTTCTCTTCCCTTATTAAATAGCACTCACCAAAAAATTTTTCTTGATCATTGCATGGTGAAAAACAGTATTAATGATGGTAGTAGTTATACTACTAATATAAAAGCTACAATTTATTAAAGGCTTACTATATGGCAATAACTGTGCTAGGAGTATTAGGTGTCTAATCTCAAATCCTCAGAACAAATTTGCAAATGGATATTATCGACCTTGTTTAGAAGAAGGAAACTGAAGCTTAGAGAGTTTAGTGTTTGCCTCAAAGTCTCAAGGCTGTTAAAAGGTATGGCCAGAATGTGAAGGCAAGCTTTTCTAACCCAAGCCCCAACATTTCACTCTGCACCAACCTGACCTAATGCACTAATGAAGCATATATGAAAGACTTGCATAGTACCTACCCCACAATAAACACTTTATTTCAAAACTTGCTTACAACGTCTGACATTTAAAAGGGATGGTCTAGTGGCCATTAACCGTCCAATTTCTGAAGGTTGTCTTAATTTTATCCCTATTGTCTTTTAGAGCGTTAGAAACCCATGTATCATATGACCTCGGCCTTCACCAACTTATGGTCTACATACACACATACGTACACACACACATACATAAATACATACATGAGCACCAAGTCCTTGCTTTTCCAAGATTCATCAAAATACAGTCCACTCTGTTCCACTATGTCCACTAAGCAAGGACTCAGGTACTATTCCAGTTCAAACAGGTTCAGGAAAGGAGAAAGCTGGGCATTGCATTTCCTAATTAATTGATGTGATTTTTCTTATGTCAAAATAAAAACCATGCAACCCACATTTGTAATTTTGCCTCAAATTATAGGCAAATTAAATAGTCAATCTCATAGGTATCAGCTGTTCCTGCTTTTATTAGACAGCAAAAGATGGAATAAAGAGTTTAATTAGTTTGAACATGCATAAAGTGTACCATATTAACTCTTTCAGATCAATATTACTCTCTTTTAACAAATAGCTGCTGCTATTCAATCATTTTTTTATCCCCTACTGAGTATACTGTAGTTTCTAGGGAATAAAATGTGATCAGCCATATTTGATTTTATTAGGCAGGTAGTGTAATAGCTACCTGAAGACTTTTTTTTTAATTGAAGGATAGTTGATTTACAATATCGTGTTAGTTTCAGGTGTACAGCACAGTGATTCAGTTTTATATATATATATATATATATATATATATATTCCTTTTCAGATTCTTTTCCCTTATAGATTAGTACAAAATATTGAGTATAGTTCCCTGTGCTATAAGTAGGACATTGTTGGTTATCTATTTTATATGTAGCCGTGTGTATATGTTAATCCCAACCTCCTAATTTATCCCTCGCCCACCCCCTTTTCCCCTTTGGTAATCGTAAGTTTGTTTCCTATGTCTGTGAGTCTGTTTCTGTTTTGTAAATTAGTTCATTTGTATCATTTTTTTAGATTCCACATATGATATATGATATTTGCCTTTCTCTGTCTAGCTTACTTCACTTAGTATGATCATCTCTAGGTCCATCCATGTTGCTGCAAATGGCATTATTTTATTCTTTTTTATGGCTGAGCAATATTCCGTTGTATATATGTGCCACATCTTCTTTATCCATTCATCTGTCGAGGGACATTTAGGTTGCTGCCATGTCCTGGCTATTGTAAACAGTGCTGCAATGAACATTGGGGTGCATGTGTCTTTTTGAGTTAGAGGTTTCTCCGGATATACTCACCCAGAAATAAGACAGGCTCTAAAGTTACAATATTATTGCACACTCTGTGTAACTCTATGAACACTGAAGGCTCTCTTATCTCTGCCACTTCTCCCCCGGTTCTCCCACACGTGGTACCTGAGAGCACCTCTGGAGGCTCCCACTTAACTGCTCATATATTGTTTGCAGAAGAAAAATGCCCCAGTCTCTGGGAAGAACATTCCCTTTGACAAAGTCGCGGACCCAGAAAGGATGTTTGTGGACAATGAGAAGGAAAACTGCCACCCGCTTGGCCAGAGCAGCCGAATCAGGCTTGGAGTTTTGGAGAGAGAGAGGCGGAAGTCAGTTACACTATGCTGTTATTGTCATCACACCACTCAATTATTATCTGTATAGGTTAGGACCAAAGGGTAAGAATCTGTTTAGATAGTGAACCTTGAGTGTATTTGACTAAACAGGCAGAAGTAGAAAAATAAGCAAAATGAAAGCCCTCAGGGCACTCACAGCAATTGACCTCGTCAGACTTATCCCCACAGTCATGGTCACCGTCACACACCCACTCTATGGCAATGCAGCGTCCATCTCCACAGCGATGCTCCTCTGTGGGGTTGCAGTCTGGAGGAAAGAAAAACTCAGGAGGATGGAGAGAACCAGCATGACAAACACTTAGAACTGTGTGGCTTGTTCCAGTAGAACAAGTTCCAGTAGAAGAGAGTCTGTTCCAATTATTCCAATACCGTCAATAACCTTTCTACTCTGGGTCTGGCACCTCCCGGGCAACCATGTGGCCCCCCGGCCACCATCACTATGGGGTAAGACCTGACTGCTTTTCAGATGAATAACAAGCTCCCAGCTTTTCTAGGACCCATAGCTTGTTCTGGGTTTTGTTGTGTTTAGTCACTGTTTTCTTTCCTTATGAAAATTTTGTGATTTGGCTCAAATAAACAGAACTGTGATTTGGGTTTCACAATGTAGATAGCTGATCTGATGATTCGTGACAACTCTGCCATGTTTCTAAGAATTGCAACTTACCTCTCTGTGGTAAACTGCGGAGGCAGGTATCTCCTCCTGTCATCTTGCCTGATGCTAAGCTAAGGTTTTCTATTGAGCTGTCTAAATATATAACTCATACTTGAAAGAACTGCTGGGTAAGAAATGCAAAATATTTGGGTTTTTTTAATGATTCTTTTTATCCTGGATTTAACCTCTGTCCCAAACTATATATTCCTGGGGGAAAAGGAGAACTAAGTGATGTTTCCTCTCACAGAGGGCAGAACCTATAGGATTCTTTGATATGAGACATGGAATAACCTTAATATAAACAACCCTTTAAAAAATGTATGTAGATTCATGAATAGCAGTTTCCATAATGAGGAACTATCATGGATTTCCATTAACAGCACTACTGTCTTTAACACACCTATGGAGGGACCATGGGTCTTGAAGGATATAGGGGAGCAATTAAGTGAAGAAGATGGATGAAATGGTGCAGAGTAAAGAAGAAAGACACAATGGCTGGGATGCATGGGTGGGAACCAGAGGAGCCAGCACATGCTCAGCCTGCTAAAGATGGGCAGCCGGGACAGAGAATGGTCTAAGAGGACATTGTGATCATTACCATTAGATAGAAACAAAGTCATCCTAAGAGCACAAACCTCATGATATCCTACTACCTTCAGAGGAACCAGGTTGAGTTGGTAAGACCACTGTCTTTCACACGCCAACTATACACGGGTCCTCTCCACTGACCTATTGAACTACCAAGCTACACTCAATTCCCCCCTCCCTCATTTTTACTCTCTTTTCTCCAGTTATCTTATTGGTAAAAGGAGGAGTTGGAGTAGATAATCTCTAAGGCCCCAAACTATACATTTTATGATGTATACAATTACAACAGCGTCTCATTCTTTGTGTCCCAAGACTACTCAATCCCAGAAGATAATCCATATCTATCTAGTGACCCGTGGGATGTTTTGCGCATACATACATTTTCCAACATTCTTACGGATGCAGTGAGAGGCAGCTACACAGGTGCTTCTAGAAACTACTGAGTTTCCCAGCATGGGGCCATTTGGGACATTCACCACTCCTCCGAGGCGTTCCCCTGACCCACTCCTGATTCTCCCCCAGCATTTCTTTTGATGTTCTCTAATGCTGAATAATCATTTCACATCATTTTCCCAGTGTCCTGCCTCATCTCACCTTGCCCTTCTGCTCCTATTAGAAAGTTCTTCTGTCACTCAATAATATACTACCTAAAAAACAATTCAAAAGCTAATCACAAATTCAGAAAGGTCAAGAAGCAAGAAGAATTTTGCTGGTTTTAATTCATGAAAGGGCATTCAGAATTGGACTCGGCTCTTTTAAAGGTAGGGTCATTCTCGGTTTTTTAATTGAGATGTAATTGACATAGAGTGTTGTATACGTTTATGCTAAATAAGATAAGCCAGAAAAAGAAAGACAAATACTGTGGGATATCACTAACATGTGGAATCTAAAAAAATCTGATTTTGTTCAAACAGAGTGTAGACTGCTGGTTACCAGGGGCTGGGAGGGTGAGGAATTGGGAAGATGCTGTTTATAGGTACAAACGTGCAACTAGGAGGTAGGTTCCTTCTTTAAAAGTTAAGATCAGCTTCTGTACATAAAACAGATGCACCCTTCTAACCTTCGATATCCGCACTGCAGAAGTTGCCCCTGTAGTATGTGGCAATCAAATAAAGGAGGGCTCTCTGGTTATACATAATAAGGGGATCAGGAAGAGAAAACATATCTGTCTGCAACGTTTTGCTCAAGAGCTCAAAATCTAAACACGAGCCACCGGCTCCAACCACAGAAGAAACCAAACATTTTTAAAGAGAAAAAAAAAGTTAACTCCCATTTCTACTCCACATCTCTAGCATTTCCTCAGTATGACTTTTTGTCAGAAATCTTACATTTACACATGAGACATGACTGAGACTAATAATTTAAAAAGCTTCCTCTTTCGGAAAATTAAGAAACCAATCATTTTGTAATTTCACCCACTAATCACATTAACAAACAATGAGCTACAAGTTCTTGATTATAAACGTCTGCAATTTTAAATGAAAACCTTCAGGGAAATAGTGCTACTTACCACAGTTTTGCTCATCACTCAGATCCCCACAGTCGTCATATCCATCACATACCAGGCTATAATTAAGGCACTTGCCCGTGTGACAGTGAAACAGACTCTCGCTGCAATCTGAAAATAAGAGAAGCCACCGATGGCTCATTAGAGCAGAACAGGATGTTACAGTAGCAGTTTATATAACGAAAGCATATCATGGGAGGGAAATCATAATGGTAACCTGGTCCACATCTATTCTTTTACAGGTGAGGAGACTGTGGTGCAGAGAGATCTAATGATTTGCTCAAGGTCACATAACAAGTTCCTGAAGAACCACAACTAGGACCCTCCGGCTCCCAAGACAATGCTTTTATCACTTCCTGACGGTATTTATCTGAGTTCCGCTTTATGACACCTGAAAGCTCCTTTAGAGTCAAATATGAGAAAAGACATTCTCAACTCACCGTGGTTCCTAATGAAGTTCATGTTCATACAGAATGAATACTTAATAGAGGGTGAGTAGTTATTTCTTAAAAAATGTTTCCTTTAAAATGAAAGTCTAGTTTTGCCCATGGTAAGCATAAACGTAACAAAGAGAAAAAGTCATTTAGATTACAGAGTCATTACTTAGTTTCACATCACTTAAGTCAATTGAATGTTTCACAGCATGACCCTCAAATAAACAGTACTGTCCTAGATTACGGTGACAAGATAAGAATAAGTGATATATAACCTCAGGAAGCTTATAGTTTAATGTTGGAATAAACATCATGCAAGGAAATTTTAATAAGAAGATAGGTCTTGTTCTTGGGTAAAACAGAACTCCTATCATGGTTCTATCATCTATTAGCTGTGGGAATTTGAGTGTATTAGTTAAAATATATAAGTCTGTAAACTTATTTTTGAAGTTAGGATAAAAGCAATTACTTAATAGAGTTTAGGGGAAGGTATAAATAATAAATTAATGTGTGTAAGTTTCCAAGACAATTAAATGGGAAAAGAATACTCTTCAACAAATGGTGTTGGGACAATTGGATTTCAAATACGCACAAATGAACTCTGACCTTTACCTCAAACCATACATAAAAATTATCTCAAAATGGATTATAGACTTCAATGTAAGAGCTAAAATTATGAAGCTTCTAGGAAAAAACATAGGAAAAAATCTTCGTGACCTTGGGGAGGGCAAAGAATTCTTTGATATAACAACAAAACACAAGACTAAAAGAAAACAATAATAAATGGTTATCCATTAAAATTAAACATATTTGTGCTTCCAAAGACACTATTTAAAAATGAAAAGACAAGCCACATACGGGAAAAAAATATTTTCAAAGCATGTATCGGATAAAGGGCTTATATCCAGAATATATATAGACCTCTTACACTCAATAATAAGACAAACAATTACAAAGAGGCAAAAATCTTGAATAGAAAGTCTTCATAAAGACATATGAATGGCTGATAAGTACATGAAAAGGTGCTCAATATAATCATTAAAGAAATGCAAGTAAAACCACAATAAGATACTATTACATATCCCCTAAAATAGTTATAATAGATAAGACAGATAATGCCAAGTATTGGCAAGGATTTTAAGAAACTGAACCTCTCATATATAGTTGGTGGGGATGTAAAAGAATAATAATGCCACTTTGGAAAGCAGTTTGGCTGCTTCTTATAAACTTAACTCTAACCTTATCACGTGATTCATGATTTCCACACTTAGAAAGCTACCCAAGAGAAGTGAAACATATATCCACACAAAGACTTGTATGTGAATGTCTAGAGCAGCAGTATCCATAATAGCCAGAGACTGGAAACAATCTAAATGCTCAACGACTGGTAAATGGATAAGCAAAATGTCGTATATTCATACAATGGGATACTATTCACCAATTAAAAGTATCAAACCACTGATACATGTGACAGCATAGATGAAGCTCAGAAACATTATGCTAAGTGAAAGAAACCAGATACAAAGACTACATATTATGCAACCCATTTATGAAGTTCCTGGAAAAGGCAAACTTACAGAGACAGATGTCAGAGCAGTGGTTATCTACGGCTGGAGACGTGGGAGTGGGGACTGACTGCAAATAGGTAGAAGGAAAGTGTGGGGAGAGATGAAAGAGTTCTAGAAGTAGATTGTGGTGATGGTTGCACAATGCTATAAATTTACTAAAAATCAATGGGTTAATTTTACAGTATGTAAATGATACCTCAATAAAGCTGTAAAAATGTTTAAAATACATGTAAAGCCTGCATGTAATAGAAACTAGATTTCTTAAATGTATTATTTTTTCCCTTATTTAAAGTGAATGAAGTTCAAAAATAGATTCGTAAGGCTGGAGCAGGATCACGGAAGATGAGGAGGATTTTGGTAGAGTGGATGGAATGAAAACTTCAGCAGGTTTCAAATAGAGGGAATAGCAAAAACGAAGGAAAGAGGTGAGAAATGGAGGCACGTGTGAGGATCAGTCTGCTTGGCTGAGAAAGACCAAGAATCTAATGGTCAACAGTCCAGTCTCCTGAATTACAGCTAATTGTTCCTCCTCAAGCAGACGCCTGCATGTCATACAACTGGTGATGGGTGCCTCTTTACTATAAACATCCCAAACTCTATAACAATTTATTATCAGAAGTCTTGGGCAAAGGGACTTCCCTGGTGGCGCAGTGGTTAAGAATCTGCCTGCCAATGCAGGGGACATGGGTAGGATCCCTGGTCCGGGAAGATCCCACATGCTGCAGAGCAACTAAGCCCGTGTGCCACAACTACTGAGCCTGCGCTCTAGAGCCCGCAAGCCCCAACTACTGAGCCCACGTGCCACAACTACTGAAGCCCACGTGCCTAGAGCCCGTGCTCTGCAACAAGAGAAGCCACCGCAATGAGAAGTCCACTCACTGCAACAAAGAGTAGCCCCTGCTCACTGCAACCAGAGAAAGCCCGTGAGCAGCAATGAAGACCCAACGCAGCCAAAAATAAAGAAATAAATTTATTTTAAAAAGTCTTGGGCATTGATCAGTGAAACTGTTAGCCACATCAAAATATTATACTTGTTACTGACATGATTCATCAACTTCTCTTTCAAAGAGCATTCTTCTAAAAAAAAGTTACTTAAATACTCTTAGAATGACATCATTTTAGAAATGGAATGGGCCTTAGCGATCATCTGTTCAGCGCCATCATTAAGAGGGTGTGTGTATGTGTACATACACAAACACACACGTGCATACACATATGCTCACACTTATACACATACAGAACTTTGTAAGTACTTTTAATTTTTCATTTCGCCTGGGACAACCATCATAAGGGAAAATATAAGGACTAAAAAGAGATCCCAGTTTTCACCTTGACCGTACTATTTCCTCCCATTCAGCAGCAGAGGACACTAACTTCCCACCCTGCACCCCACTGCTACCACACACACACACACACACACACACACACACAGGCTGAGTCAAGAAAGGTTATGATTTTGGTTCTCCTGCCCACTGAGCAGGGTTGGGGAATTTGTGCATCAAGATATATACATTTCCTCAGGAAGTTTTAAAAGATCTTTCTGATTTTTATTTTCATCTCTTGTGAGAAGTTTTGAATCGGCATGCTAGAATCAGCAGTACCAGGGTCCTCACCTTGACCATCAGTGCAGAAGTACTTACATTACCTGAAGGAGGAGACAGGGTGGAGGGGTGACAGATTTTAAACCATACGAATTAATTTTTTTAAGCAGTACACTTCATTTTTTTGATGATAGGACTGGGAAATCAAATATTCCTTTCAGAATCTGATTAACCTGAGAACACACTAAAAATTTCCAACGTGGCCCCTCTGTGTGGCCTATTCTGGGATCCCCGGTAATTCATACTAAAGCACCTCATTGGACATATTTTGTAAATTAATGCTCACTTATTAACTTATTTCATAAGTGAAAATGATTCAAACATTTAAAAAAATTCCTCATTATTCACATAGGTGCAGATGCAACTTTCCACTGTTATGACTTTCTTGGTTAGATGCCATTTTCAGAGGTTAGATACAAAACTAGCTGCATTTGGAAAACAACTTGTTGCCTCCCTAAGGTCTGTGTAATTAGTAAACACACAGAGCCTTAACCAAAGGCACTGCACACCCAGAAATACACAGCAAATAGCAGATCACAGTGCCTCCTTTTATTGGAATAAATGTTTATTTGAACTGAAAAGAGATGTCGTCAGTGTAATTTGGGGCCAACGATCAACACCTGCAAAAGCTGCCTGCTGTGATTTTCTCATTCAATACAAGCATAATTTTGCGTAACCTAAGGTAGGTGTTTTTCTAGATACAGATCCTTTTTTCTGAGAGAGAGCTTGATACAAAATGTTACTTCTGAAGTTCTTGCTTGTTAATATCTATTTCAGTCTGGCATCACAATGACTAAAGTTTACCCCTCAAAATCGTCATTAAATGGAAGGGGAGAGCTAAGGAACAGAAAGCCTTTTATCATGAGCCTCGTTCAATTGGCTCAGTCTCTATGAGTCTATAAACATAATCATGCTGCCTCAACTCAGGATTCAAATATGGAAGCTCAGTTTCCATCCCGAGATGCCCTCGTTTTGAGATGACCAAAGAGGTTAACCAGTTTGCCCACAGTTGCCCAGATTATTACAGTGACCCGGGCTTCTTGACCTCCTGGGGTTTTTTCACCTATTGACTTCTAGCTCCAAAGGAGGATTTCTCAACTGCAGTACTGCTGACATTTGGGGCTGGGGGACTCCTTGTGGCGGCGAGCTACCCTGTGCCTCGTATGATATTCATCAACACTCCCAGCCACTGCCCACTAAATGCCAGTAGCATCCCCTCCAACCTCCGCAGTGGTGACAATCAAACAGGTCTCCATACATTGCAAAACACCCCCCAGGAGTAATACTGCCCCCAGTTGAGAGCTACTGTCCTGGAATATCCAAACATCACCTCAGTCCAAGGCCAGTTCTAATCTCGTCTTTTCCATCAGGTCTCTCCACACCAAGCTGGCAACCAGTGATCTGCACTCTTCTCTACTCACAGGGCCTTTTTTTTTTTTACACAATCTTCTTTTGCTCGGTGACATCTATTATATTGTTCTAAAACACTATATTTAATGATCTCTATTTTTATATGCCATTTCCCTGATTAGATTAAAAGTGTCATGAAGCAAGAAGCCATGTCTTAACAGTCTCTACATTTACTATGTATCTAGAACATGCTTCACACATAGTGGGAATTCAAGATTATTCAATAATTTGATTGATTCCGCATAATCAGACTGTCACTAAACAGAAGTGAACCTTCCACACATCTGAAGCTTCCTCCATCGGCATAGAATGGTAAACTTTTATTTTTATTAATGTGGTGGAAATCTTTCTAGTATTTACTTGCACCCTGTCTTAGTAAAGAAACTATGGTAGGTACAGTTTTTTTTTTGTTTTTTTTTTGCGGTACGCGGGCCTCTCACTGTTGTGGCCTCTCCCGGTGCGGAGCACAGGCTCCGGACGCGCAGGCTCAGCGATCATGGCTCACGGTCCCAGCCGCTCCGCGGCACGCGGGATCCTCCCGAACCGGGGCAGGAACCCACATCCCCTGCCTCGGCAGGCGGACTCCCAACCACTGCACCACACGGGAAGCCCGGTACAGTCATTTCTGATGACTCGGAAACATTATTTGGAATATCAGTTTTTATGTTGTGCTGTTTGGGTGGCCTCCTTTCTACATAGCTTCATGTGGTGCTGCTTTGAAAACCATTGTGCCTATTGTAGTATTTGTCTCCTCTACAATGTATCACGTGACCTTTGGCGGGGCAGGGGTGGGAGCAGTGTTGCGAGGAGGGAGGGCATGGAGAATAAGATCACAGCCACAATCACAACCATAAATCCTAATGCCCTTTGAGAGTTACTGCATGCCAGACACTGGTCTCTGTGCTTGACATCCAGTGATTCATTATTCTGCCCAACAATTCTAGAGGTAGTTACCATTACTTATTGTCTCCATATTACCGATGAGGACACTGAGGCCCAGAGAGACTGAGTAACTTTCTCTGTCCGCAGAGGCCGGAAATGATAAAGAAGAAATAGGAAGACAGGCAGCCTGACTCAAGACCTTATAACATTCATCACTATACTGTGTGATAATTAGTATAACTAATTATACTAACTAGGATAATTAGTTAACTCAGTATAATTAGTTCACCACAGTCCTCAAAAATAAATCAACCAATGTTACCCCAAATTCAGAGCAAATGACTTCCAAAAGTATTTGACAGAGGTTTATGCGGCACAAAGTACGGGGACTTTGTGGCAACTATTTTCCCTGTGACAACCATTTCCCTGGAGGCTGTCTCATTCATTTGCTAAGCACCTGCTCTGTACCAGACACTGTCCTAGAGCTGGTTATAGAATCAAAATATCATAGAGGGCTTCCCTGGTGGCGCAGTGGTTGAGAGTCCACCTGCTGATGCAGAGGACACGGGTTCGTGCCCCCGTCCGGGAAGATCCCACATGCCGCGGAGCGGCTGGGCCCATGAGCCATGGCCGCTGAGCCTGCGCGTCCGGAGCCTGTGCTCCGCAACGGGAGAGGCCACAGCAGTGAGAGGCCTGCGTACCGCAAAAAAAAAAAAAAAAAAAAAAAAAAAGATCATAGAATGTTAGCAGCAAAAGAGACACCAGACACACTCTAGGGCAGTGGTTTCAAACCTGGCTGCACACGAGAATCACTGGGGGAGTTTTACAAAGGTACTGCTGCCTGGGTAACCCCTCCAGACCAATGGAATTCGAATCCCTGCAGGTGGGGCTTCCTGGAGATGCAATTGTGCTGCCAGCCTTGATGACAAGGAAAACCTGGAGAAGTAGCCTGCCTCGAGCCACGGAGCTAGAAATTTAAAAAAAAACAAAAAACAAAGAAAACCCTTAATCTTCAAAAATCTTTTCACTATACCACTAAAATTGCTCTAGGTGGTTAGAAATTGGTCCATTTTACTGATCAGGAAGAGACTGGTAAACATGGCAAAATGAGTTGCCGGTGGGGTGGGGAGGTCAGTAAGCAGGCCAGATACCTGCAGAGCCCCTGTAAAAGACAATTATCTCCCTCAGCATAATAGAGCAACCAAACTAGACATTTTCCTGTCTTATGAATGATCGCAGTACAATCATTCACCAAATTCGCACTTTTATGGACATGGGCAAGTCAAAGGCGGCACAGTTTAGAGAAAACAGTTAGATTTGGACCCATTCGGAAGTGGGTTCAAATCTAGCACTTTGAGCCACTGGCAAATTCATTCATGGCTGTGAGCCTCGGCTCTGCATCTGAACAAAAAGGAATAATACTTCGTTCGCTGAAAATTCAATCGAATCATGTAGGTAAATGCTTCTAGTACAGTTGATTAGGGAACTCACAAATAGCAAATCCCTTCCCTTCCTTCCTTGGAAGGCAATCCTCCTCCTGTACCCGCCAGGACCCTCAGAACGTGGGAAGCCCAGCAAAATTTCCTTCTCCCCGCAGGAGTATCTGTGGGTTGCATTCCAGCTCTGATTTGTATCCACGCCCTAATTCAGACTTAACACTACTCCTTCACTGCAGGGTGGTGACAACAGGAGAGTGGCACCTTCTATAAACATGCATGCTGAAATGCCACAAGCACTGAATGTTAAAGCTCAGAGGCAGATGTCCTTGGAAGGTCAGGAACAATTGCATGCAAAGCTCTCAATGTCCAACTAAGCATTTTCATAGACAAGTATTCTGAAGGGATGTATTTCCTCAACAAACGAAGCCAAATGGTTTTTGAAGTGTGGTTATGAAGAAGGCCCATGTCTTAATAAACTCTTGCACTCCTAGGATATTGCTGAATACCTTGCATAATAATAATACTGCCTTCTTTGTTCAGTCACTGACTAGGAAAATTTACTCCTTGAAATTCAGTTTCGACAAATGCAGCAGAAATCTCTTACTGTGTAAAGTGCAATGTTCAATGTAGCGGAGGAACATAATGATGAAGCCAGTGTTAGCCCAGCACTGGGGATAGAGGCACATGCAGAATTTGCATATGACATAACATGGGCCATAAGTGGGAGATAAACAAGAGATTCCACTGTAACTCCCATTACTGTATATAATTCTACTGAACCACTTAAAATCCCTACTGTAGGTGCTTTACAGAATATTTGTTCTCAAGTCCACAGCAATACTCCCTAATGTAAGTAAACATCCAAAAAAAATGTTTTTCATGTACAATCACATGCCATAGGTTTTTCTGAAGAGAGAATTCCAAATTATAAATACAAATATCTTAGTGAAAACATTTCCAAAAAATATGGTGGCTTAACTGAAATTCTACAGGATGCTAGATATTATGCAAAATAAATAAATGCACGAATAAATCAATAAATTAATTAATTAAAGGTAAGGGTATATATAAACAAATAATTTTCAGGAAATACCAAGATAAAATTAATGTGCTTTTTTTAAACTGTGGGATTTATCTGAACCTTTAATGAACGAATATGTATTGTAGCTCTCTATGAAGTAGATCTGATAGACAACATTTCTCAAACTTATTTTTTTCCCAAGCATTTTTCAAGACTCAGGTACTATGGGACACCAGTTTGGGAAACACTGACCCTAAATATTACCATAATATACTGTCTTTCAAAAGTTATGGTAAATAAGTATCCTAACCCTTCATATGGATGAAGAGTTGGTCCTCCTGGCAAACACACCAGAGGAATCTTTCAACTCAGGTGAGCAACTGAGATGAGCCCTTATAAAGCCTTGGTAACCCCTACAGGGAATAAAACACAGCTTTTCCCACAGTAACTATTGCTGGTCATAGAACCATTAGAAAGCAATTTGAACACCATTGCACATGGTCGTGTTTTGGACGCAGATCCTGCAATGTATTCTTGAGGCTAATTTTTCCTTTTAATCTGTTGCATAATTGCAAATCAATTTGAAAACTGAATATAAATCTGATATGGACTGAATGTCTGTGTCTGCCCAAAATTTGTATGCTGAAGCCCTAAACCCCAACATGACTGTATTTGGAGACAGGGCCTGTGAGGAGGTGATAAAGGTCATAAGGGTGGGGCCCTAACTGAATAGGGCTCATACCCTTGTAAGAAGAGTAAGAGACAGCAGAGCTCTCTCCTCCCCTCTCCCTTCGCCTCTCCAAAGAGGTTATGTGAACACACAGGCAGATGGCAGCTGCCTGCAAGCCAGGAACAGAATTCTCACCAGAAACTGACTTTGTTGGACCTTCATCTTGGACTTTCCAGCCTCCAAACTGTGAGAGAATACATTTCTGCTGTTTAAGGCGCCCAGCCTGTGGTATTTTGTAAAGCAGCCCAAGCAGACAAACACAATATTGGATAAACCAGCGTTTTAGTCAAAATGACTGATCAAATCAATGGTAAGTAAACTGAGGATGTTTAAGGCTGAATCTACCAATCCATGGATTCAAAACAGTTCTTGCCGTCACTCTCTCCAGATTTAGAGGAAGCATAAACGAACAAAAGATTTTGCATCTTCTGTGTCACAACTGCTAAAAATCATGAGGGTAAAAAATTTTCCTATTAAAAATATCCTTTTTTTAAAAAAGTTGACCTCAAAGATTTAAAAACAAAAACAAAAACCCTCACCCAAACAAAGTAAACAGAAAGCATTTTCCCAATTTTAAGATACTTTAAGCAAAAACACTTCAGTCCCTGATGTGTTCCACAGCACATCTAGCTGTCGAGTTCCTAATGAAATCAGGCCTTTGGAAGGTGTGCAAACACGCAGCTGTCACATGAAGTGAGGGAAGATAAACACATTTGCTCACTTAAGAAAAGCAAACTAAAAGAAGTCCACCCAAGTGCCGGGTGGTTGTCAGTACTGGACAATGGAATGGCGCTGGTTTCCAGGCCCCTGAATGGAATCCCTGTCCCCCCAGACAAACCCCACACAGCCTGTCACATACTGCAATGAGCCTCGTCACTCCAGTCGCCACAGTCGTTGTAGCCATTACACAGCAGTTTCCTGGGGACACAGATGCCACTGGCACACAGAAAGCTCTCACCCCCTCCGCAGATCACTGAAAAAAAGGGCAGAAAAACAATGTCAAAATGAATAAGAGGTGTGTTTTTTTTTCCCCTTTTAAAATTAGGAGAAATAAAGGACAGAAAGAAAACCTTTCCTTGCTATTCAACAGAGGTGCTTCCCAATTCCCTCAGTTTCATGATCACCAATTTTTCTCTGGCCTTCTGGAACATTAATTGTAAAATTACCTGGAAAGACTACAAAGAGTGTTTGCCTGAGAAAAGCAAAAGGAAATTCACCAGTGGGCTTTCACAGCACAAGAGAGCCGCCTCATCAATTGCACAACTTATGTGGGGAAAAAAATACCAGATGGGAGTATTTTTCTTAATAACAGAAAATTATTTCAAAGTGAAATATTATTTATTGAACAAACATTAAAAAAAAAACCCTCTCCTTCTACAGTGCTACTCAATGTCCTGCAGAGAAAGCTACAGTTACGAATAGTTGATACACGCTTGAACACAGGCTTAGAGACCCCATGCCTTGTATTTGAAATATATTTATTTACTTGTCTTAGTAAAAATGCCAGTTAAAAATGTCAGTGTCTATTTTGGCATAAGGAATGTGAAACAACATTAGCTGATAATATTTTCATTCTCTTCCTTAACACGGCTGCATTTTAGTATTCTTTGCTTTAAGTATTACGGTGTTCTTTTTCTTCTCAAAATTCAACAAATATTCAATTGTTTCAAAATTACATCAGATACAGAATGTAAGAGAAGAAGCTAGAAAGATTTTTCTAAGGGAAACCATTAATGGAAGGATGTCAATTCAACGAAATGGGTTTTAAAATACCCTTCAATATGTGGTAATATGCATCAAATGCTTTTTAAATGTGTAACCCTTTGACCCAGAAATCTTATTTCTGGTCTTCATACAAAGGAAATGATTATGAATAAGTGCAAAATTTACTATTTAAGGATATTCACACCATCATGGTTTATCACAAGGAAACTATGAAATAACAATTATGCAATAATAGGAGACTGGTTAAATAAATTTTGATAGCTCCATAATAAGGAATACTGTTACAGCCATTGAATATTATATTGTAAAAAGTAATGTCCTGGGCCAAAGTTTAAGATAATTTAAGTATAAAAACACCATTTGGGGGACTTCCCTGGTGGAGCAATGGTTAAGAATCTGCCTGCCAATGCAGGTGACGCAGGTTCGATCCCTGGTCCGGGAAGATCCCACATGCCGCAGAGTAACTAAGCCCGTGCACCACAACTACTGAGCCCCATGCCACAACTACTGAAGCACACACGCCTAGCGCCTGTGCTCCGCAACAAGAGAAGCCACGGCAGTGAGAAGCCTGCGCACCTCAACGAAGAGTAGTCCCCACTCAACTCAACTACAGAAAGCCCGCGCACAGCAACAAAGACCCAGCGCAGCCAAAAATAAATAAATAAATAAAAATTTTTTAAAGTTTAAAAAATAAAAAATTTAAAAACAGCATTTGGTTCTGAAAAAGCATAATACAATCTGGCCTAGAAAGAAGTATATCTAAGGTTACTATGAATATCCCTGGTATTAGGATTGAAAGTAATTTTTATTTTCTTCATTGTATTTTACTCTGTATTTTACAAATGTTCTTATAACGATCATGTCTCACTTTTATAATCAGAAAAAGAAAACAACTAACTTTTTTCATGAGTTCCCAATTCAGAGTAACGGTAAATAAATACAACCCTCCCAAAACTTGTTTCTGTAACTCTCTGTCTCCCTGCCACAAAAGTTAGTGGGATCAGCCTTGTGGTCTCCTGCCTGGTCACTGTCACCACCACCCCCCCACCCCGAACCATGTTCCTTGATGAGATGAACCTTGTTGTCTAACTAAAGGGAACCAGGAAATATGGAACATTTAACTCAGAAGCTGAAATGCAGGGAAGTTCAGACTGAACGTTCCAGGCAGTAAAGTCCATGCCACTCATATGTCCTGTGTTCCCCAGCAGAGTGCTGGCACTCAGGAGGTTCTTAATTAATGGGAAAAAGTCACCTCCATCTCAGTGGAGCACAATATATTGCCACGAGGCAAAAGAAAAAAAGGCAATTGATGGATTATTTTCCAATGCTATCACGGAATCAGTTTCGATTTGCTGAACATTAAGTAAGAGTCAATATGGTATGTCTCTTCTGATGCTAATTCATGTGTAAGCTTCGCAATATCAACAATGAAAGTCTGGTTTTCCATTATATCCCATGATTTCTGTATCAATACAAATGGCATCTATGGATTTCAACTGCCAAGACGTGAAACACGCTTATGTTTTGTATAGTCTTGGATTCAGTGCAGGACTGTACTCCTATAGCTACAGACAGAGACTCCTAAAGGGTATACAGGAAACCAGATAGAAAATGAAAAACCAAAACATTAAAGATTTTACCGGTCAGTCTCTACAATAACCTCTCTCTAGGGTTAAGGGAAAATTTTCAAGGAATAAGTGTTTATCCTATCGTGAGACTGTTTCTGCATTATAGTAGAGAGTGCAGAAATTCCATCTGTCTGCATTTCAGCAGCTGCAATGCCTCAGAAGAATTATTGCATTCCCTACATTATGGCTCTGATGAGTCCTTGGGAAATGTAGCTGAAAGCTCAACATTAAATAGCTCCGAACATCTAGGTTTCATCTTTAAGGACCTACTCCAATAAAGCCATTCTTGTGTATGGTTATATCAAACCTGGACCAAATTTAAAATACGGTATTGCTTGCATTGTTTTGATTATCGATATCCTGTGTCTTTGCTGATTCATCAGAAACTGACTTCTTTTGTGTGGTTTCTCGGTTGGAGATGCGGCTGCCCATGGTTTTAGGACATTGAAAATTGTTTCTTTCTTCTTATTCTTTTTTTGCAAGTTCTTTGGACATTCATAGTTTCATTAATCAATACTATTTTTGTACAATCAGGATAGCTTTGTACATTCTCTTTCTGTTTGATTTCTTCCTAACCTGTATTCAGAATCTCCACTTTGATTTGTGAAAAACTGTTCAACTAGCAAAGCATTTCAGACATATATCATTTACAATTTCCAGAGAGTCCCATAAAGTACACAGGTAAGAATTCTATCACAACTTCCTTGGGGTAAGTGATAGTTTACAAATAGAGGAACTAGAGTATCATATGGTTAAGACAGCATCTACCCAAAGCCACGGAGTTAGGAAAAGGTGAAAACCACCCCAGAATCGTGAGGTCCTGGCTCCAGGCCTAATCCTCCACACCATACCCACTCCCCATTTCTAGTACACAGCCAAGTGATGGGCGCTGAGTTCAAGGGTACCAGGTTCAGGTAAAAGTTCAAACTTGGCTTTATTTTTCTCTCTAAACAAAAGATGAACATCTGTCCTCAGGTGAACTGGACCAGATAAGATGACATTTTTGTGAGCTCTCGGTTTTTGGAGAACACACTGAGAGAGCTCTTAACAAGTTTCTGGAGAGATTTTTCAACCATAATTCACTGTCTTATGACAATCATCTTCCAATAGCCTTTAGACTGAGCCCTTAAGATGACGAAGGGAGATTCCCTGAGGTGAAGTCATGCTATACAGTCTTGACACCATTTCCACTAACATCATCTATAACACTAAGAGGTATATATTGGACTTTAAATCAATGCCAATGACTTTACAAGATTCTTTCATTAATTGAATGAATATTTACTATCTATTATGTGCTGGGCATTACTGTAGCAGTAATTACAGATACAGCAGTAAAGAAAACAAAACTACTTCCCCACCTTCACATAGCATGTATTCTACCGATCATCATCTGATAAAGATACTTTTACTAACTAAAGATGCTTCACCACCAAAGTTACTTACATTTATACATGTGACAATTAATTAATATTAACACAATGACAGCAGTATACAAAGACTTATGCCTAAGATACTGGGTTACATGTCCAAATGATGAGGACAATTATGAATCGCCTGGACTTCTGAATTCCATGGATTCTGAAGAGTATACACCCCTGCGGATGAACAGCTCTTTTCAGTCTTGTTTCTGAAAACAGTATGCTGAAATAACATCCATAGCCTGAAACAAACTTTAGAGTTTCTGCAACTGCTTCCAGCCCTCTCAGTTCTCTCTGTCTGTGTTTTATGGGCAGCATTTATACTGGCAAATTCTCTCATTACTCTGCTTGTTAACTTTTAGAGTCTTTTTCAGAAATTACTCACCAGTCTCTGACTGCATAGTATCCTCACATTCATCGTGACTTTGAGTCCTTGTTTAAAGTCTAAAGCTCAAGTTCAACTCTATCTCTGAAGAGAAAGCCGACCTGGCACACAGCTTTGTCCCCTGCACCCATACTGAGAGCTTGTCAGCCCTTCATTCCACATGCTGCTCGAAATTAAGTTACTATAAATCACTATTGCTCTTACCTTTTACAAAGTTATTTGACCATATGAAAAAGAATGAGTGTAATCTTATAGCAGCTGATGCAAGAATACTTCTTGGGAAGAGTGTTGTATCTCCCCATAATAGGTTGGTAAGAAGATTGGGGTGAAAGATAAGAGGTGAAAGAGGAGAAAGGAAATCCAAGTGGACGGTCAATAATTAAACTTGGTCTTTACTCTGCCTTCTAAGTCATATGTACTCGATGGCCCTTCCTTTTGTTGAACATTAAGATGTCTGGAGTAGGTATGGATGGATATCAAAAAGCTCTGTATGAAGAGAATGAGATCCTCCTGGAGAGAGAGGGGAAACTGTGCGGTTGGGCATTGTCTTGGGAGAGAGAGAAATTAAAAACTTGGTTGAGTCTCCCTGAGGGGCTGTATAGAGAAGACCCTTTGGAAAACAGAAATATCTAAAGGGACATTTCAAGTTGTTGATGGGAGGTGTAATCACTTCCTCCATCTACCATAGGGAATCAGCAAAGATGATTATGTTGCTTTCTAATATTCTCACTCATTTATTTAATCAATTTGGCACTCTTCTAAGAGCTTGAATACAGAATAGATCCCTTGCTTTGCAGACACTATAGTCTACGGA